AAACTGATTTAGCACTTTTTTCCGAACTACACAAAATTTTGTCTCAAGGTATTTTTTAGTTTATTGATTAATTTAAGCAGTGTTAAACTTTTCTTGTGGTAAGCATTACACAAGTGTCATTAACAAACTAAACGGCATAAATCATAAAAGCGACTGCGATAAAAAGCCTAGAAAAATGACATCATAAGATATCAGCTATATTTCAAATGCAATATTTATATTATTGTACTATTTATAACAGCATATCAGTGGATACAATCATGATTGATTACATAACAATAATGTTCCCAAGATTAAAGTTTACTAACCTTTTGCTGTTTTGGTAATACCCAGTTCAATTTCAAAATTGAAAACCAGATACAATATAGAAAAATTGGTAAACTGTTGGAAAATGTTATGCTAATCCCCAGCAGATGGTGTATAGCTATTATATCTGTATATTTTATTTGTTGTAATTTATTATTTATTCATTCTTCTGTCAATATTTTTTCAACATAACTTAAAAATCATTATAAGTGTAACATCTTAGTTCTTTTCTGTTTTCCATGATTGTTTTTTTTTTTTTTCTTTCAATGTATGAGTTAAGTCAACAATACTGTACTAATAATATTAAACAAGTTTGAAATAAGGAGAAAATTTTAGTATTAAAAAAAATCTATTTTATATTGATAATGTAGTTTTATTTTTCATTGCAACGATTCTTTGTTGTGTAATCCAATGTATAGAAAAATATACGAGGAAACATTTCAAGCGGATGAAATAACAATATTCACTGAAGGCTAAGCCATTAATTAGGCTGAGAGTAAAACTATCGCTGACTTAGCACTTTTGAATGAATGTTAAGGAGATGCAAAATACCCAAAATTATGTTTTTGTTACAATAATATTTTTTAAACCCTTTTAACATGTCTGCTAGGACTTACGGCAATTCTGCAAAAAGCATTAAGTACATAATTGCCTTTTAATAATAATAAAAAGTATAAACATCTGAAAGAAATGCAGTTTTTTTCCCCCAACTGTCAATTCTAACTGGGAACAATATAGAAAAATTGGTTAACTTTTGGAAAATGTTCTGCCAATAGTTTGCAGATGCCGTAAAAGAAGTGATGCATAAAAAAAGGACGGTTCTTGTGTTTCCAAAAATAGATAATTTGTAGTAGTAATGTAAAGCAACTTTGAAACAACAAGCATTCAAATTCAATAATACTGTACTAATAAAAGTTTAAAGTTTGAACATATGTATAAGAAAAGTACAGTCTTTTTGTATCTCACCATTTTATTGTGGTAATATCAAAATATTAAATATTATATCAAAACTATACTACATAGTATATTGCAGGAGATCAGACTAAATATGAAATAACAATATTTACTCAAGGCCTAGCTGATTTAGCACTTTTGATCAATATTAAGGAGATACAAAATTGTGTTTTGTCAAGATTGTCAACATGTCTACCAAGTCTCAAGGTGATTCAGCATATAAGTGTATAATTATCTTTTCAATTAAAAAATTCAATGAAATGAACAGTATTTTTGTCTTTTCTATCCATTCTAAACCGAGAACAATATATAAAATTGGTTAAACGGTTGGAAAATGTTCTCCCAACATTGGGCAGATGCTGTACAACCATGTCTAATGTTGTTCGGCCAGCCATGTGATACCTTGACATATGAGTCTAAATTTTGTCTCGAGTTATGATCTTGCTATAGTTATGTCACAACCACCATGATTTTCAGATTTCTGCTCACGGACAATTAACATATTTATCCCACTGTAGATGCAGAAGTCGGGTTTATTTATTGTTCCTAACCCAGCATTTTAGTGTAGTATAATTAATTATTAATTGTCTGTAAAGTGAATGAAACATTTAGTTTGTACTGTGTATAATCTAATCAGCTTACCAAATTTATTCATTTCTTTAGACTCTGCTTCATATGTATTTTCTTTGTATACAATATTTCTTTATTACATTATTATCAAAAATGGTTGTTTTTTGAGGGCTCATATGAATTAATTTCATCAGAGAAAAATGATTTGAGATGTGTTCGGTTATGGAACAAATTAAACGTGTATCTCAAGGTACAGTCACTGTGTATGCTTTATACATGACAGTAAAAATATCTGACTCAGCACTTTTGAATGAATGTTAAAGAGATAAAAAATATGCAAATGTTTTCTTAAGATTGATATTATTATTTTTTAACGTATTAACATACAACTAACCTATTAACAATAAGTGTTATCTAGTTCCTTCATTACAATAAATGAATCCAACAAATAGAAAGGGTTTAGAATAAATTTCTAAGATGTGCAGCTCACAAACTTCCTCAGGCTACTTTAATATTTTGTATTCCTTTGACATCTTAACTTTGGAAAAGAGAAGAATTTACGTCTTTTTCTTTTATAAACTTTTGAATAATCAGATCGAGTCTCCTTATTTACTTTCCAAATTAAACGTTAACGTCCCCAGATCTCACCCTGTAAAAAAAATATTCTTCATTTCTGCCCATAAGACTAATTACACAAAAAGATGTCCCATCAATATTGTGATAAGCTAATGCCTATCCACATCTCTCATACCAAGATAAACCAAGATAAATATTAGCATTTATAAAAATCAAATAATTATTGCACTCATGATATAAATGTTTAGATCAGTTTATGTACTACTTTCATATTCATTTTATGTATGTCTCATTATCGTTCTGTAAACACACGGTTCTGTTATTTTAATATTTACAATTCTTTATTAATTCTAAAGATTACTTATATTAATTATACTTTTAATCTAAAGTCTTGGTTGAGATAAAAAAAAGCAAGTGTCACAGGNCCCCCAGATCTCACCCTGTAAACAAAATATTCTTCATTTCTGCCCATAAGACTAATTACACAAAAAAAAGATGTCCCATCAATAGTGTGATAAGCTGATGCCTATCCACACCTCTCATACCAAGATAAACCAAGATAATATTAGCATTTTTAAAAATCAAATAATATTTGCACCCAAGACATAAATGTTTAGATCAGTTTATGTACTACTTTCATATTCATTTTATGTAAGTCTCATTATCGTTCTGTAAACAAATGGCTCTGTTAGTTTAATATTTACAATTCTTTATTAATTCTAAAGATTACTTATATTAATTATACTTTTAATCTAAAGTCTTGGTTGAGATAAAAAAAAGCAAGTGTCACAGGATTTGAACCCATGAACTTTGGCTCAATACACCGATGCTCTAATCATTTGAGCAACTTCGCTCCCCCAGGACACCAATTCATCATCTCAACCTACAACATTTAGAATTTTCCCTCTTTTTGCTTTTTTTGCTCTTTTTAAGTGTTTTTCCAGTGTGTTCAAATCTTGCATGACACTTTTTCATCTCAAACAAGACCTTAGATTAAAAGTATAATTCATTTAAATAATTAATAAGATAAATTAAGACTACTCAATTTGGATCTATGTATTACTGTTAGGCTAGTTAGCTAGGGTTAGACCAGTTATATAGTTAGAATATGCTAGTTCTGTTTGGTCTCCACACACCAATATCAACATCAAAATGTTAGAAAATTAAAAGTGAAATTCCTGAAATCAGTCTCCTTCCACAACAAATCAGTTTATTTGAATTTTTAAATTCAATGCAAGAAGAAATGTGTCCGATATAATATTTATCCACAGTCTTCTTAACAATAAATGACTTCCCCGAATTGCTATCGTAACTCAATTTTCACTATTCTACCATCAATTTTACCGTACCAACTACACTTCTCGCGTTCCCATATACAGGATGATGGATCTGGTCAATATCCTACCTAATAGTACCTAATGGTTTAGATATTAACAATACATCTGGAGCCAGTTTGAAGAGGAATTTGAGAGGAACTTGTACACCTAGGGTATGTGTATACTATATGTGCTGGTTGATTTTTTTTTTTTTTAACAAGAGTTCTCAACAGCAGAGGTCATATCAACCCTCGGAGTACCGTTGTTTTTGGAAAAAAATCCCATTTGTAAATATATCAGGTTCGAACGCAGGGCCACTGGATTTGAACCTTGGACATTTACCTTACAATGATGAGCCCCATGTCAACACCTGAACCGTTGCAGTCAATGATGCCCCCCTGTATGTTTTACTTTATTCTATGTTTAATAATTCAAACTTTCAATTATTTGTTACTGTATTATAATTCTAATTCAATTGTTTCTTTAATTAACTATTTCAATTTAGTAATGAATCTATATTATCTCTCCTAAGTATGTTTGCAACTGTTGTATAATACAGGCTTTGCTCTATAAAGCTCTCTCTTGTTGTATAATAAATAAATAAATAAACATGTCTACCTGGTCTTAAAGTGTTTGAGCACATAAGCATTACATAACTGCATTTCAATAATAAAAAAAAAATTGAAAGATTTTTTTTAAATTGACTGTCAATTCTAGGTTCAATGATATTTGTAAAAATTGTGGAATTTTATAGTTTTCACAGGAAGAGGAATTTTTTTAAGTGTAATATTTCTGTTTTGGGGCGGGTCATGGGCGCATGATCGTAGTGAAAAATAAGCGAAAGCTGCAATATTGTGTTATTCTATTAACAATGGAAAAGAAATGAGACTAGAGAGAAAGAAAGAATGAAAGAGAGAGAGAGAGAGAGAGATAGATAACAAGAGATTTGTCAGTATAATTTAAAGCTCGCAAGATCCGTGGGGTTTTAAGTACATGTACGCGATCCGGCCAGGGTCGAAAGACGGGCTTCGTCCGAGTCGAAAAACAAGCGAAGCCGGGCTTGGCAATCGAGACGAAGAAAGCCCGACAAAAAAAGTCGAGGATTTTATTCAAAAAAGTTAAGGCTTTTTAATATAGAAATGCGGCATTATCGATTCCAACGTAAACAAATTTACGCCGCCGAGAGAAAAAAAAAAAAAGCGCCGATCGCCGAAAAGCCGATAATACATCAAATCGGATTCCGTACCGAGTAAAGAGTAGAAATGCTTGGTATTTTACCTTGAAATTTGAGTTCGGACTGTGGAGTTATGTTTAAAACCTGTTCCGGCTTAGCCATAGTGGTTTTATCGTTTTATTCCCTTGGACAACAGGCGAGAATCTCTATAGACCGGCTCTTTCCTTAGCCTCGGGTCGTCTCCTCGAACGGATATCTGTAAAATAAAACCGGGAGAAGATTTGTCAAGAAATACCCCGGAGATTAACTATCGGATATACTGAACTGAACCTAAATCCAAAAATCGCATGCGCAAATCGGACCGAGGCGAACCTGCTGTTTTCAATGACGTCATCCCACGGACTCGAACGTTCGTCTTTCCAACTTTTCGACGAGCGGTTCACCGCCAACGGAAAATATCGACCCTACGCTGATTCTAACTTTTATTCGACACGGTCAATTTGGAAAGAAAGTGTAAAAATAACGAGTTCGATCCGAAGACTTGAAATTTTACCCTTTTTTTTAACTTTGTTGTGTTTTTTTTTCTCTAAATCTAGTCACCAAGAGGAATGAGATGTCCTGCCAGCTGATGATACCTTATAACATTAACACACACATACATTGTTAGATCGTTTTGTTGAAAATTATTTAAAAAAAGAACCCGGTTCGTATTCGACGTTTTTCACGTTTTTCTGACTTGACAGCGCCGGAAACAACCTCGTGCCAGGTTATTGACAGTTTCACCTCAGAGATCTTCATACAGGAAAGTCGTTTCGTCCACTTGGAAATGACAAGTTTATAATTTTTACCTAGTATAAATCTCAATAAGTTTTCATCTAGACGAAACGCCGTCGTTAGGTCCGGTTAAGGTAAGCATTTAAAAAAAATACTAACTTAAAAAGACTTGATTTCAGGTTATTTTAAAAAGACCCCCCCTCGTACTTTCTATTTGCTCTTTTATCAGTAAAATTCTCTGACATTCAATAATACATTAAAAAAATTATGTAGTTTCATCCAGCATAATGTATTATGGGATTAAATTGAGTGAATCACGCCCTTATTTGTATTGTGACGAAAGTTCACCTTTCCATTGAAATTGACGATCGTATCCACGCCTTGACGTTCCGATAAGATCCCGTCATGCTTTCGAAGTTAATTTCATTTAAAAAGAAATCTAATTTCACTCAATTAACAATAAATTTATGATTATAACATATTAATTGTACTGTTGTGTTATTTCGAAAGTTTCCCAGGGTCAAGATGTTCTTAGTGATGACCGATGAGTCGTCAGATCAGAGACGAACGAATCTTGACCTTCCGTTATTTATTGAACCCTTTTAAAAAAGTCACACAATTTCAAATAGAATATTTTTAATGACGATAAAAGTTTAATTATTTGTACAGAAATTTGAAAGTTGTTTAGACACCCGGGAACGCACACAATAAAACATGCTGAGTCTTAACTGTTGACAAATCTTAACTGTCAGTCAAAAGTCAGGATAGTTAAAAAACATAATTTCGTTAGTTTGAGATGATGGATCTACTTGAAATTGTAATAGTGCACAGTTGCTGAAGAATGTCAGAACATTCTTAGTCAAAGTGATCGGTTTTAAATTATAAAAAATCAAACGTGATCATCAAAATTAAATTATTTCTATTTCTACCAAAAGTCAGGATGGTTAAAAAGCATAATTTTGTTTGTTTTGAAAGGAAAAATTGAAACATTACATAGCTACTGTGGGATGTCTAGCCATTTTTAGTCACAACTTCCTTAAATGGAAATGTATTCATAACCATTGTAATCTAAAATCCTGATGTTAAGAAAATGCCCATATATTTTTTCAACAGAAATGACCTGCTTTCACACATACTCAAAAGTCAGAATGGTTAAAAAACTTTAAAAATTTGGTTTGCTTGAGAGGATAAAATTATTTAAAGTTTCTTTTTCAATTAATTAAGGTTTTGGTTGAGATAAAAAAGTCAGTGTCACAAGCAGGATTCGAACCCAAGACCTTTTGCTAAATACGTCGCTGCTCTACCACTTGAGCTATCGTGACTTCAATTCACTCGGACTCTAACTTCCCATCTCAATCCCACCTTTTGAATTTTCCCTCCTTTTTGCCATTTTTCATATTTTATTTCAACCAAAACCTTAATTAATTGAAAAGAATTTATTTGGTCAAGCGGACCACGAAACCTAATAAATATAAACTGGAAATAATTTGTAATAAAGATTATTTAGAGATCGTGAGATGCAGTCTGACATGATATAGGTTTAGAAAAACATTTTCTTATCGTGCTAACGTTTTGATCTTTATTGAGATCATCTTCAGGGCCTGGGATTTTTAAACATTTTTTAAATTATACAAATACATACAAGATATGATTATGAATTTATACAAAAATTTGTACTCACTTGAACTTTGATTAAACCTAAAATTTCTATATTCTAAGCCTACACACCAGACCACATCTCATAATCTCTAAATAATCATTGTTTAACAGTCACTAAATACTATATTTGTAACAAAAATAACATATTGATCCCTGAATTGATAGGATGGAACAAAAATATAATTTTAACAGTGATAGGGTGAATCTACTTGAAATTTCATCATTATATAGGTACTGCAGATTGCCAATGCATGCTTAGCGACAACAAACAAAATAAATAGTTAAGAGTGTAGATTATAAATACAAATTCTATAATTTAAAAAAATTATATTTTTACCATTCACATTAAGCATGTTAAAATTATTTTTTGTTTATTTTAAATAAGTTTTCATTATTTTAGTTTCATATCTACACTTGTTTTAGATGATGTTTACAAGTTAGAACTTGAGCTTTCCAAAATTCTAGCATATTTTATCAAAATGTTCAAAATGAATGCTATTACATAACAGAGGAAGAATGTTGGATTTGTTGAACCAAATACTTAAAAAAAATTGTTTCTGTTTTAAAAATAGCATTGTGTATTTTTTTATAAATAAATGATGTTAACTGATTGCTTTAAATTATACTTTAAACTTATATACTTATAAACTTTCATTTGAATTAATAAGTGTAAATAATAAGAAAATAAAACGAATGTACTCTAATATGGCTGTATATATTTTTAAAATAATAATTGTTGTTTCCTTTTTCAAATAATAATTAATAAGACTATGGTATTGATTTGTTTGTTGATAGTTTACTTCAGTTAAACTTTATATTTGTATTTTTAACAGATTAACGTTCATTCTAATTCTTTTTATAAATACTTTTTTAGATACAAAAAGTAAAACATGAGTGCTGGGAGCACGCTGCAGGTAATTTTAATTTATAGATTTGTACATTTTACATGATCATTTCATAACTACCACACCATTTTCATTTTGCATATAAACTGCAACACAAAATATTTTATAAAACCAAAAAACTCATTTGTTACAATTGAACAGACGACAGCCAACATAACTTGGCTTATCGCTAATTTTATTTGTACAAATTGATCATCTTGCACACAAAATTTATTTTATTTTATTTTTTTTTTCAACTGCTTTCAGTTGGCACTAATGGAAAGAATCTTTTTGTTTTCAGAAAGCCATTGACCTGGTAACAAAAGCGACAGAAGAAGACAGGAATAAAAATTATGAGGAGGCATTACGTCTTTACGAGCATGGTGTCGAATATTTCCTTCATGCAATCAAATGTAGGTCAACTTTGTTTATTTTTTGTTGGGTAAAAGTATAATTTTTATTTACTGTTTTCAGATGAGACAAACAGCGAAAGAGCTAAGGACAGTATCAGGACAAAATGTTCACAGTATCTTGAAAGGGCAGAAAAGCTGAAAGAATATCTGAAGAAAGGGAAAAAGAAACCTGTCAAGGATGGTGAAGGTGCACCAAAGTGAGTTGTTTTTTTATTTATTTATTTGTTTTATTTTTCACATTGTTCGATTACCCCCAGATCGGATGAAAAGAAGAGTGACAGTGACAGCGATTCTGATGACCCAGAAAAAAAGAAACTACAGTCAAAACTTGAAGGTGCTATTGTAGTGGAAAAACCATGTGTCCAATGGTCGGACATAGCAGGCCTAGAAGTCGCTAAGGAAGCTTTAAAAGAAGCTGTTATTCTACCCATCAAATTTCCTCATCTGTTCACTGGTAAAAGAATTCCTTGGAAAGGAATTCTACTTTTTGGAGTAAGCTCTTAGTTATTTACAGTATGAAAATATATTTTTCTTGCAAATTATGGTTTATTAAATATTTATTTTAGCCCCCTGGTACTGGTAAATCATATCTTGCCAAAGCAGTTGCTACAGAAGCAAATAACTCGACGTTCTTTTCTGTATCTTCGTCCGATCTTGTTTCAAAGTGGTTAGGTGAATCAGAAAAATTAGTGAAAAATCTTTTTGAATTAGCAAGATCACACAAACCTAGTATAATATTTATTGATGAAGTCGACTCGCTTTGTTCATCCAGATCAGACAATGAATCTGAATCTGCAAGACGAATAAAAACAGAGTTTTTAGTTCAAATGCAAGGTAATGCACTTAGATACTTTATTAAAGTTCATTAAAATTGGCATCAGTATATTTTTAAGGTGTTGGAAATTGTAACGATGGGATCCTTGTCCTTGGGGCTACAAACATCCCTTGGGTTTTGGATGCTGCTATAAGAAGGAGATTTGAAAAGAGGATTTTTATCCCATTGCCAGAAGAACATGCAAGACTGCACATTTTCAAATTACACCTTGGGAACACATTCCACGAACTCACAGAGGAAGATCTCAAAAAACTTGCTGCCCAGACAGAAGGGTAAATTGAAACAGTAGCACATTTTATCTATGGCCATTTGTATAGTATTGTGTAGGTTTATAAATTAATTGCAATTTTCAGGTATTCTGGTGCTGATATTAGTATAATAGTACGAGAAGCGTTGATGAGACCAGTAAGAAAAGTGCAGACTGCAACTCATTTCCGTCGATTGTCAGGCCCTTCAAGAACTGATCCCTCTGTTATTGTACACGATTTGTTGACTCCCTGCTCACCAGGAAGTCCAGGAGCTGTTGAAATGTCCTGGATGGATGTACCAAGTGATAAACTTTATGAACCCCCAGTCACAATGGTTTGTACACTTGTTGATTCTAATTTTACTATAATATTTTTTGATAACTTAAATGTTGATTTTATTTTTCTTAGAGTGACATGCTAAAATCTATTGCAACATCAAAGCCCACGGTTAACCAAGAAGATATGGCAAGGCTTGATAAATTTACAAACGATTTCGGTCAAGAGGGATGAATACTGCCATTGCAAATTGGGTTTTTAATTTATTTTAAATGCTTCACTCTAGCTTTTGAAAATGCTACCAACCCCTTTAAGAAATTTCTTTTTAAATGAGAGGTCTTTAGCATTGGTTTTTCATTTCTAACACAAACACACCATCATAGAACTTAGTCAAAATATTTTCTTTAAAGGGGACAATAAAAAAAGAGGATAAAAATTGTACACCTACATCAGAATATTGAAGCCAGGACAGTGTCAGAGCAATGTATCTTAAAAGTTTGAGGCGATAACTATTATTTCACACATGTTTAAAGAGTTATTTCAACAACAACAAAAAAGGAAAATTTGTATAAAAATCATAAATCTAGACAGAGTATTAGTTTGCAAAGTTAAGTTTTGCTTATAAAGGTCACACCTATTTTTGATAGCCACATTTATATATTTGTTTTATTGTAATTAAATAGAAGGTATTAAAATATTTGTATAATGAAAATGTTATACCTATTTTATTTTTAAAATGTAAAATATACTTATAATTTGGATAATTATTTTTTTATGTGTTGAGTGAATTGATTTTACTCTATCTGAACAACAAAAAGAAACAACAATAAATGTAAATTATGTTACATAGTTATAGTTGTGGCTAGTTTTTAGCCTTCATGTATTTAAAAATTTCAATGAATCATAACAGATTATTATTATTATTATTATTATCAGAAATAAAATAGAACATAATCACTGTTGTAACAAAAGTTAAATATTTACTTATCTTTTTTTGCATCCATAGAGCAAAATCCAAAATGTTATTCCAGGTATACACATTTAACTAAAATATTACTCATTCAACAAATACCCAAGTAATATAAATTTTAATTGGAATCATTTCATTCTTGTTTGTTATTTTTATTTTACATAACCTTTAAATTTTATTAGATTTTTGTAAACTCTCAACTTATTAAAAATAAAGTATTAAGTTAAGTGTTATCTTTATTATACAGGAGGGAGATTAAATATAATATTGAATCCCTGCTTAGTTAAAAATTGAGGTTATTTAGTTATTGACTGCTTTTAATTATACTCTGTTTTGAGATATGTATTGAGAGAGATGGGCATGTAGTCCTAATTAATGCACTGTATTGTACACTCGGTAAACTTTATTTGACCTTCCTCAGAGCAATGTACAAAGTTATCAATAAAAATAATATAAGACATTTACATTTTAATCAGATTTAAAAAAATAAATAAATCCTTTTCCACACGTTTTAAACGTAAAAATTAAAGAAACAAAAATTTTGTGCCCTGAAGATGATTTCAATAAAGATTGAAACATTGACACGATAAAGAAAATGTTTTTCTAAATCTATGGCACACCAGACCGCATCTCACGATCTCCAATTTACAAAATTAAAATTGAATGCTTAAAACGTTGAGAGGTTTTTTAATTGTTTAAAAATCTTTTACTGTTAATATATCTTAAACTATTATTTTTATTGATAACTTTGTACATTGTGCTGAGAAGTGCCAATATAGAGCTGAAAGCAAGGCAAATGTATGATACAGTTTAATAATTGAAGGACCATGAGAGGTACTATGTGTTTTAAATTTCTCTCATTCTCCTTTCACAGTCTGTCCACTTGTCCTTTTGTCTTTCTTAGATCTATTATGTAGTACATTTCAGTTGTTTTCTAAAGTCCAGTACATTAGGCAAAACGAACATATATATAGATTCATCTGTGATGGAGGATTTTGTTTATGCTATCAAGGATAAGTTCAGGGCCTATATATGGTCTTGTAGATCATCCTCTGGCCAGTGTATATCTACCTTTTTGTTACCCAAAATTTTCTTGGGTCCAGTACCAAAGATAACATCAGATTGTTACATTTCCCCAGATTTTTGATGATATTTTTTTAAATGTTTAATAATGCTAATCGTTAAATAGTATTTCTATCTGATCTTATGAAGATTTTGTCAGTGTAACCTGTTTTAAGATTTCCCAAGGCACAAGCGTTTATAGAATGCTTTTTATCTTGAAAGACCTTGATCTCGAAGAAATACTTGATCCAGTTCCTTCATTTGTTTTGGAGCCATCTGCATGAATATATACCATATCATTTTTTTCCGACTGTACTTTGTTGAGACATAAGATATTGTAAAGAGTGTTTATGGGATCTTTTTTAGTCAGTCCTCATTTCTAAGAATGAGTGTCTTATTTTATTAATTATTGTTATGTTCTGATGTGTGACCAGTTTGATTGCTTCTGAAGCCTAAACAAGCTTTTCCTCACTTCTTGTATAAATGTTTCCAACGGAGGTTTAGCTGTGTGTCTAGTGCAATAGACACTGATTTGTTCCCACAGAATACAGGTTTGTCATTCGTATGCTGCCTAATGCTAGGGTCATCATTACATTAAAATTGTGAGATTTATTAGTGATGGCAAGACATATCATGGTTCAATCAAAATGATTTACAATTTGTTCTGGTAGATTTATAATGATTAATAATGCTTTAAGATTATGAGACATTTTTGGTTTATTCTTTGAAGATTCTGAAAAAAGGAGGTTGAAAGAAAGTTTATTTAAAAAAAAATTAAGAACTACAAAAGTGCATGTTTTTACATGAGTGTTGCATAATTAGATCTTGATTTCTTTATGTGAATTTCAGAGTTTTATCGAAACTAATGTTACAGAGAAATATAAAAAATGTTTTGATTATTATTTTGGTAAAAATTTAAAGAAAAATTGTGCAAATTTTTTAACAGGTCAAAGAAGGGAAATAGGGCTGGAATTGGATTGTCTTTGTTTTAACAGGAACAGCACTGCTCTCTGCTTTGCAGAACTCTGACAAAAGCACATGCCTCTAGTCCAATCAACCTTGGCCAGGCTGCAGTACTACTGCTGCATCCCTATGTCAATCTAATAACCCTCTACTCCAAAAGAACCTCAACGTTTTATTTTTTTACAAAACAAAACTGTAGGCTGGGAAAGTACGAATGGGCCAGGAATTTCCGGCGGAATGGCATAATTGAAAAGTTCGACTTTTAAAGTTGTTAAACTTTTCTGTTGTCAAGTGTTGAAAGGCAATCGATGACTCACCAACTACCCTGTAAGTTATCTCTTTTGTAGTACGAAGTTCAACAGCTATATGTGTTCTTTGGACGTTCCTGATTGTTTATTACAGCCAAGTACTGCACCTTTTAATGTACAAGTCAAGGCCGAGGTGCCCAAGCTTATACTCTTTGAACAAAGGAGAAGAAATTAATCTATATTCAATTCTGATACCCTGTCATCAATTAAAAAAACATTGTAATGCAGGGCCTTGACTCTTTCCTCAAGTCAGTCGTAAGTAATAAAAGTATCATGTTTATTTTGTCATGTAATTTTCTACTATTTACATACATTTTCATTTTCAGTACGAACATCCTGACTTGACAAAAAAGGATGTTGTCAAAGCTTTAGAGGGATATAAAGCTCTTTCTTTCAAAATTGATCAATATGGTAACTAATAATTTTTCTTAAATAGATTTAAATAAAGATATAGATAAAGACACTGGGTGGCAAAGATGTGCCAGGTAACCAGAATAGTTTGTGCGATTTTTCATTAGTTATTGTTTTAAGCATTAATAAACATTCTATTTACATAGGAGGTTTAGTTGTATAAATCACGTAATATCAAGGGGATAGTGTGTCAGTTCTTAAAAAAACTCTTGAACAGTTCACAAATAATAAAATATTTTCTTTCTTGTTACATCAAAATTAAAAATTCATAATCATTATTTGGAGATCGTGAGATGCGGTCTGGTGTGACGTAGGTTTTAGAAAAAGATTTTCTTTATCGTGCCGTTTGGATCTTTATTAAGATTATCTTCAGGGCCTAGGATTTACAAACATTGTTAAACTCAAAGTGAAAGGACCTTCACCTCAAAGAAGCCGACTCCTCATATAAAAATTTCTTTCTATTCCCGACTTCCCACCCCACCCATTCACCAACATATATAAACATAAAACATCAATATCTCACTGGCACTCTCTTGAATGTCAACAAATTATCCCCAATGACATGAAAAACATTTACTAAAAAAAGTAATGCTTTGTGTTTGGTTGAGTAGAGTACTTTTTTAACCTTTTGAACCACTTTTGGAAGTACACGTACTGTTTCGTAATCGAATGCAGTGCAAATTTTAGAAGATGCCTTGCTCACCCTAGTATCCAGCTTAAATTTGTACACTAAACACAAGAATGACGGGTTGGGAAGCCATGAGAAAGAAAATATTTTATAATTTATGGTACTGTACACGACACTTTGTCTTTGTGAACTGATGCATTACTCCCTTGATTATGTGATGTAAACACCTAAATCATTTATGTAAATAGAAATGTTGACAAAGAGTGTGATGAAAAACTGCACGAACTTTCTGATTACCTGTGTGATTACTGTCCAAGTAGTATCTGTCTGTGGCATACTTGTAAATCCTAACTTGTACCCAACTTTTCTGAATTTCATTTAAAATTTTCCTGTATGTTAGATTGCTTTTGGTTTTCAACTAGTTGTTTGTTTTCTCTCTGCAATTTTTTCTAATTTTTTCATTACATTATTGTGAAATATTTTAGTCACCTCTACAGTTTTTATTAGTATATTCTAGTACAGTTTAGTTGAGTATTGTAAATCTAGTTTCAGAAAGATAATGTATTATTTATTTTTTAGTTTAGTTTTTAATTTTTTCATGCCTTTTTGGATGTTTTATTTAAATTATTTATTTATTGATTGTTAATAAAACTACCTGGACCTTCTAGAGATTGGGAAAAAATTGACAAAAGAATTAATGAAATGTAAATGAAAAAAAAAAAAAAAAAAGTCTACGTCCTTTTCAATATTGACAGTAAACCGCTTGGATACTCATGTACTTCTTTGGCAATCAAACTGTTATCACCATAATGTGGCACTAAAATATTTATTTTTATGAAATAAATATATTACCAAGTTTTTTTTTTTAAATTAACATTAGTTATTTAAATAACATCAAAAAACGGTCCAAGAAATGCCTTATCTTCTTGGCTATCAGAATTTAAATATTTACTGATTTCTTTGGTTGAAATAACAAAATGCCATATTTTTAATAATTGAAGAAAAGATCAAATTGTCTTCCTTTTACATCTTATTTTTTTTACTCATCATCATAGATTTATTTATTTAGAAGTGTTTATGTACAAAGGGACATGCTCGATATATCTGTCAATTTACTACAATTAACTAAACTAATTTCTCCAACTTTTTCCATCTGTTGTGTCCATTTTTCTTTATGTTGGTCAACTTGTGTTGTAAAACCTCTATGTCATGACTCATGAGTGACAAAAGAAAAAGTAGCATTTTGCCTTTTGATAGCTAACTGGAGGTGGAGAAGAATGAAAAGTAATGAAAAAAGTGGTCGGATAAGAGCATATCTGGTTATGTAAGCCTGTTTGAAGAATTCTGTACTTTCTCCTTTTGATGTGACCATCATGAAATTTATTTTCCATTTTTTGGACATTCATAATGGGACTGGAAAAACTTAGTTTCGACTCGGGCATACCTTCAGACAAGCCACTTGTGGAAAACTGACAAGTAAATTGAGGTGGTATGGGCCCGTAATTAACTGATGAGTTCACATTCCTCATGTAGCCAAAATAATTGAATTTTCAGGCCAAATTTTAATTATGGTCGATTTAATTACATTACCAGTTAATTTCATATATGTAATCTAATAACAGTACCTGAACTGAGCATTAATTTTCAGTTGCGAATGATGGAACCTGCAAGAATTTATTGAGTCTAGAAGGTACTATACCAATTAAATATAGAGGGAATAGATACAACATACCAATATGCATTTGGTTACATGAAACTCACCCTAAATTTCCACCGATCTGCTTCGTCAAACCGACGCCGGACATGCAAATAAAAGTGTCAACCTGTATTGATTATAGTGGGAGAATTTATTTGCCTTATTTGTCCGACTGGAATGCTGTAAGTGCATTAAAATAATAAAAAGTAAAATAAAATCAGCTTTATTATAATTTTAAAAAAATGTATTGTTTATTTGCAGAAAAAATCGGATTTACTCAATCTAATTAGAATAATGACAGAAGTTTTCGGGGATAATCCACCACTCTTTACAAAACCACGTGAAACACATCCAGTTCCTTACCCTACAATGCCACCACAAGGTAACCATATTTCTTTTGTTATTGTCTAGTAATTATTCGTGTTCAATCTTTAAAATTTTGGTTCAGGTTACATGCCAATGCCTGCCATGCATGATGTCATAACAAACTACACTCCTTATCAGATGTCAGGAATAACTATGCCGACACCTTATCCACCACAAATGAACCCAACTCCGTATGAAAACATGATGGGCATGCCTTCGTATCAACAGTACCCTATGTCGATGCCACAACCTTCTGTAGCCACAGTGAGAATTTTCTCTCATGACATTAAATTATTATTTATGAACTGTTTTTTGTTTAATGTATGGGTTTTGTTTTAAAAGACGTCCACTGTCAATTCTGGCACTATAACAGATGAACACATTAAAGCTTCACTCCTTTCGGCTGTTGAAGACAAACTCAGGAAAAAAATGAATGACCAAGTTGCACAGAACAAAGCAGAGTTAGATATTTTACAGCAGACCAGTTATGAATTGAACCAAGGCAAAGCCAAACTGTTAGATATTATCAGCAAAATGGAAAAAGAAAAGGTGAGTGATCGTGAGATCACAAGTTTTTTGTTGTAAGATTTTTGAATAAAGGTTAATTTTATTTCAAGAGTGATTTGGAGAGGGTATTTACCTTACTTAAAGAGCGTGATGCAGAATTGGAAAAGGCTAAAGCAGATTTAGAGGAGAGGAAAGAAGTGGATGTTGATGAAGCAGTTATAACGACTGCACCATTATACAAACAGTGAGTGTAAAAATAGTAACAATATACAAAACTTATAACATTTGTTTAAAAAAAAATTTATTTTAGGATTTTGAACGCATATGCAGAAGAAGCAGCCATTGAAGATGCAATATATTACATGGGAGAGGCATTAAGGAGATCAGTCATAGATTTAGATGTATTTTTAAAGCAGATTCGGTCATTGTCAAGGAAGCAATTTACATTGAGGGCGCTCATGCAAAAATGTCGTCATAAGGCCGGCTTGGCTTATTGAATGACATTTCATATTATATATAACTATTAATTTTTAAATTGTGGAAATAAAAAATAAATATTTAATAGCATTCTTTATTACTTTCAATATGTTATTTTTTTGAAATGAGCTCATTTTTGTTAGTTACAATTTTTTATTATTTCTTCAAAACTGTAATATTATTTTGTTTAAATTAATTATTGTGTTGAATATTATTTATTACTGTACAATAAATAATATTGTATAATCAAAAATTTTTTCTTTAATCTGCATATATTGATAGGATTGACCAACATTTTTAAAAAATAAATTCCTTATGCAAATTAAAAAAATCCCATTTCAGGATACTATTCTTACATGTGGTGGTGATTAGTGACCGTTAATCGATAATTATTCCGAAATCGTGAGATGCGGTCTGGTGTGATGTAGGGCACTCTCAACACAACATGCAAGAATGGCACAATTACACAGAAGACAAACACTTTGAGCCCTGAAGATGATCTCAATAAAGATCGAAATGGCACGATAAAGAAAATGTTTTTCTGAAACCTACATCACACCAGACCGCATCTCACGATTTCGGAATAACTATTCTTATAGTTTCTGTTCATCTTGGTAAATGGAACATGGATGTATTCGTTTTTGTTAATTTTATTCTCCAAAGTTTGTTCCAGTCAGCTATTTGCTGATGTTGGCCTTTTGCTCCTCCTTGGCAATTGCAGGATTGGGATCAGAGGAAAGCATGGCTGTGTCGTATGCAAAGGATGCAAGTTGGATAGAGGGCAAATTGGGTTGTGTGAAGTGTAGAAAAGGTACAGGAATGGTCTAAGTACACTTCCGTGGGACACTCCCACAGGACAGTAGTCGGACCCTTGGCAAACTTGGAACAATCATTCTATGAGAATGAGGTACAAAAGATTAGGTACATATGCTTGGAAGGATGCCCTTTAGTTTGTACAGAAGACTTATCCCACAAACGGTACTCAAGAAACTAGTATTAAAAATTTTGGGTTGAAAATAATATCTAAATAACAAAACAATTTGGTATAAAACTATTATATTTATTAACAAATGTGTTAAATGAAAATAATAATGATAATATAATAAAATGGAATGAAAACAATATTGTAGATGATCTTATTTTTTCGAATCTGAAAAAAAAATTTTTTTTAAACAGATCAAGTACAAAATAATTTTAATTTAAAACATTTTACCTCAGACATAGATTCCAACCCATAGCATCAGAAATAGTATACCAAAGCCGGAAAATGCAGATGCGACCAACGCTATGAGCAATTCTTTAAATATGTCTCGTGTAAATTTTGTGCTAGTCACTTCATAGACGAAAAACCAGGCCGTGAAGAATATGCCGAACCCAAGAAGGATTAATGACAAATGAGGAAACACGGCTGGATTTATTGGCGATACATATCTCGACATCGTGTCGATATTCTGAAACAGAAAAATTACTTACGATAATTTGTACTTACCGAAAATTTAAACATAGAAATAATAATTTAATTATGATATAATAAAATGGTTTATACTGTAATGTGTAATGAATAAATATTACATTGCTTACAAAAGTTAAAAATGGGCTACAAAAGAACATACAGAGTACATAAAGAGGAGGAAATATTGAAATACATCTGATATAAAAAATGAATATACGGTAATATGATCAAGTTTCAAGTTTATCGCCTCTTAGACATCACCACAATGTTTTACAGTAGTACTGGCAACACAGTAGTCAACCTTCACGATAGATACCTCACAGCAAACAGGCAATTGAATCTCCATGAAGGATTTGGAAAGTAATTATAGAATATATAACATATTTATAGACAGAGTTCTCTAAAAGGCAAGAGATGGTTCACAAGAAACTTGCAGTTTATTGCGAAGAAGTTTCAAGTATAAAAGAGTTCATAGAGGCCAGATTCAAGAAATTCCACCTCATTCTGGAAAGCAATGCACTACTTCTGGGATACAGAGTGGCCAATGGGCTTAAACCTCTCTTGCACCAGGACAAATTATTGTTTTTTGAAGCATGTTTCTAAAGTTGTTTACTTGCACAGTCAATAGCTGAAATTATTGATAATATTTTATTAATAAGATGTGGATCCAAATTATTTTTGAGTTTATGTAATTGAGGTAATAATGTAATGTAGGTGTCCACTTAAGGTAGCTCTCTATTAAAGTACAATAACGCTGTCAAGTGCATCTATGCATCAAGAATGAGAGATGCTGCTTGTCACTTCAGGCAACAATGTCAGTACTCAGGTAAATAGGCACAACAAAATAATAAAGGCCAAATTACATGTCCAACAGCAACCAAGAAAGCTCAAAATATTTTGGTGACTTAAGTTTTGCGGTGTACGAGACTTCCGATTGCAAACTCCTCATCATAGTTTCAAGATAAAGAGCTCAAATCGGTAGGAATGTGAAAGTTTGCAGAGGAAGACACTACCAGCGAGAAATGAGTGACTTTTGACTTCTTTCTGTAGGGCCTTATAAAACATCAATATGCCAATATAACTGAGAAATTTTATTTTGTTGGTTGGTAGAGAAAAGAAAACCCAAGTAAAACCCTGTATTCCACAAGCAATTAAATAAATTATAATATTAATAAAAACATTATATTATAATAAAAACATTTAATCTGGACTGGATCATATCAATTCACTGGTTGTAAACAATAGTTCTAATAATAAAATCGTTTACAACCATGTAATTATATTGTTACATTCAAATCTGTGATATAGTTTTTTTTTTTTTTTTTACTTGTGGTACCAAACAGGTTGATCCTGTGTCAATTTAGATAAAAAATTAATAATAATAAAAATAAATATAAATTTTGTGTTGTTTTTAAAATAAATTGAAAGGAAGAACACCCGACGATTGAACTTTTACCCTAAATATTCAAGTTAGATTTTGAAGAGTAAATTATAACGTTTCGACAGATAATACACCGGTGATTTTTATTTGCAATTTTATGAGGGAAAAAATAAAGAAAAAATAAAGCTTAAACAATGTTTTCACCCTTACCACAACAGGCCTGGCCATTTTTATTATTAGAGTATCACTTAGTTTCAAGAAACGGGAAAAATGAAAATTGCACGTTGCTAGAAGCCGGACCAACGAGTCAACAAAGCAATCAACCCAAAGATAACACGTTTCCAACCAGTCTGGCCAACGCGTACAATTTGTAATTTTTTTAAATGGTAATTTTATTTTTGATTATATTATAAAAATAAACTTTTAAAATTATTAAATATTGCGTTTAGATCAGGTAGACGTTAAGGGATCTTTTTTCTAACAGCTTTTAGTGAAAATTGTCATTGTCAATTTTCCCCTTGGAAATAAATATCTGAATATTTTTGAACTTAATTAAACTGTTAAGAAACTCTATTTACGTTTAAAAGATAATTTTGTTTTGTGAATTGTCTCGAAAACGCTTATTGACATTTTCAAAAGGTAAATAGCACGAGATCTAAAAAAAAATAATAATAAAAACATTGGAGAGTTCCAGTTGTGTTTCGTCGTTCTCGGGACAACCTACTGCCTAGTCTTCTTCTTCCTTCGGTTTCAAAACTCAATTTCTTTCGCATGGGAACTTTTTAAAACGCGTTCGAAAATTTCTCAGGGCTCCTTCTTTTTATTTCCAGTCCCGTCGAAGATCAAATCCGGAGAAATGACCACGAACATTTGTGGACGGCATAAACATTTCAGAAACCCCAATCGGTCTCGTTCCGTGTCAATTTAGTCAATGGGTTTGAAACCGACCGAATACAAGAAAAGAGTTTTATTTTAAAGGAGTCACAGAGTCAATACTGAGTATAACTAAAAAGGTAAATAATTTTACAAATCATTCAACTTCCTGCCTCTTGTCGTTTATTTTACAAAAGGATAGTTTATTTAAAATAGGTTAGATTAAAGGATGTTTTATTTGTTTTGTTTTAGAAGTAATTTCATACCGATATATTACTTGTCTCTCTTCTCTTATTAGATAAGTACACGGTTGATACAATTACTGAAACCCATCCGTTTCACCCATTGCTTTGCATTCCAATACAATAATTGTACCTAAATACTACAGTGTACAGTACTTTCACCTAGATTGTTTTTTAAGGGGAAAGTCTTAAACTTTAACTTTTCACAAATACTTCTTAGTTTATTGTTGATAAAGTAGCGAAATCAGAAGGAATAATATTAAACAACTCACAATTAATTGTTTAAAAAAAATGCCAGTTATGAATTATCTTTTTGCAAAAAATCTTTTCCTATATGTTATTTCTGTATGCATTATGCAATATTAAACAAATAATGGGTGTAAAAAATGAGTCTGCCCATTACTCATTATCATTGTTGATTAAAAATAAAATACTTAAACAGATTATCTACCTTTTCTTTCTAATTTATAATAAGAAAACAAATTTGTTTGAAATCTCTTGCAACAATAATAATTTACAATTTTTTTTTTCTAAAACACTAATTTCAAGCTTTTTGCATAACACCATCCATTCAATGTTTTATAGCTGTGCAATTTGGCTTAATAAAAAAAATCCAAGTGAACATTGCTGAAATTTCAAACTAAATTTTGCTTATTTTCTTGGGCAAACTATGCTGACTCTAAAAATTATTAGGGTGTCAGTAGACGCAAGGGTTTAGGCGTGACATGACGCTCATCACTTAAGGTAAAAGTCTTGGGTTCGAATCCAATGGCTTTGCATTTGAACCCGAATACTTACAAAGTTTTTTTTTTCTCAAAAACACCTGCACCCTGAAGGTTCATACAACCTTGCAGTTGAAATACCTTTATAAAAAAAATGCATTATGATCTGACTGCTGGTCACTTGTTTCTCTGGTTGCAATAATTCCAGAGAAAACCCTGAATGCCATTTTTGTTGACAAATTTTTGCCCAAGATAAAATGAGATTTCTCTTCACATCTTTATACGTCATTGTTATCATGTTCATTAGGCTTCAGTGTTCGTAAATCATAAATGTCGACAACTTTTGTGCCAAAGATGCCATGTAACACCCTGGCCCCCATTTTACATTAGTTTTTTCTGTTATTTACAGGACACAACATATTGTTCAAACACCCAGGTGGTTTTGACAGAAAATCATCAACAACATTTTAGTTCTAGATAAAGTGAGATGTTTGATAATAAGAGGAATCATAGTAAAAATGTATATTTTCAAAGTGTTTTTATGTTTATGGCTGGGATTTCAATTTTCATTCAGTGGCAATTAAAAAAAAATAATTATGCACTATGACCTGCCTGCAGGTCAGCTGCCTTGCTGGTTGGAACACGTCCTGAGAAAATTATAAATGACATTTTTATCCTAGATAAAATGAGATGTTAGTAATAGTTAATTGATAAGAGGAATCACAATAACCTTTTCAAATTGTTTTTATAATTTTTACCCATGGAGGGTGAAAAAATCATAAATGACATTTTTATCCTAGATAAAATGAGATGTTAATAATGGTTGATTGATAAGAGGAATCTCATTAAACTTTTCTAATTGTTTTTACAGTTTTTACCCATGGAGGGTTGTAAAAAGATTAATTGGCCGTACATAGTTTTATGGTCATGCATTTTCCATGGTTTAATACAAATAAAAGTCAAATAGTATTTACAGATCTTTGCTAAAAGTCAGCATCTGCTCTTGTTTCCTCGTTTTATTGAGTAGCTGGCGTAGCTTTTTGCCTTATTACAACCAAATTCAGATTTAATTTGTTCAATAGATATTGTTTTTATTACTTTTAAGTTTTCTTTTAGGCAGTTGAAATTTGAACCATTGGTTAGTAAAAAACTAAATCATAAATCTTTATTAAATAAATATTTTATTGCAAAATACAATTTCTAATTACACCATCTAATTGGTGGATACATATATGGCACATATCATTTAGTGTCAGAAGATGGCGACATGCCAAGCATGTTTTACAATACTTACTAAATACTTAAACTAACACAATGAGGATAGACAGACCAGGATGATTGGAAACATCCAAATTACAGGTTCATCACCCCGCAGCCCACATATCGTAGCAATATTTTTTCTTATATTTTATTCTATTCTATTTTATTCTAGTTTATTTATAGGGTATTTTTTAGTATTTTTATAGGGTATAAGTCATGAACATATTTTTCTTCTTTCTCTGGTCATTTATTCTAAAACACAGTTTGAAGGGTTTTTTGCTTAGTTTTTTTATTAGAAACAGTTTTTCTCACTAGTTTGAAATTAATTTAGCCATGTCATTATTAATTTTTTAAAAATCTATTTAAAGATTTTAATGTAGGTTTACGTTCAAACATATAACTATTTCTTCCTCTTCATGGTCATAGTCATAGTTTAGTTTATATTGCTCTGATTATAATTAATAAATCACAACATAACAAAATCCATTGATCAGTTTAACGTATGTTCGTCACACTGACTACCACTACTAAAAATTCTTGTAGCTATGTAACAATAAGATTTATTAAATCCATTATATTTCGTGGTCTGTTTGACCAAATAACTTCTTTTAATTAATTAATCTTTATGTAAGATATTGGTTGAAATAAGATTTATGTTTACATTTCACACAGTTTTGTTTTGTAAGGAAATATTAAACTATAACAATATACTTCTGGATGTATTTTGATAAGAGGGTATGGGATGAAAACTTATACTTTTATTATTTCTTAAATAAAGTTGAAGACTTCCCATGATCAATCTTTTTTAATTTTTTTGCCACTGAAATGTGTATGATAATTTCTTGTATATTATTAAGGCAGAGCTCTAAACTTTGAATTGTTAGATATGCTTCATTGTTGGTTCTCGATAAGAGATTATGATGCTGAAAAATCATCTTCACAAACATTGTGCTAATATTAGAAAATACTTAAAAGAAACAAACATTCAAGACTTACTGTAATTATTCTTTCATTGTAAAATAATTAGTGTAAATTTATTATTGTAAAACATTGTAATGAGGTATATGATGTGAGGTCTGATCATTCTGGTGTGCTTTTTTTCCTGATTTTGTTCCGACATTTTCAGTGGTTGGTTATCGCGCACACACCTTTTTTTACCATTTAGACCATCCGATTATTTATTAATTATTTATTTATTAATACCACCAAAGACACACAACAGTGACACATCTACACAGAAAACACAATTTGAGTGAGTACAAATACTTTGATTAAACTTAAAATTTCTATATTGTGTACATAATTGTAAAATTCATATTCATATCTTATATTGTATTTGTATAATTTAAACAATGTTTATGAATTCCAAACTCTGAAGATGATCTCAATAAAGATCGAAACATTGGCATTATAAAGAAAATGTTTTTCTATACCAACATCACACCAGACTGCATCTCACGATATTTAAATAATCATTATTTATTAATTTCAGTGTAAGATATATATTGTTATGTTTAATCTATATTTGTAATTTAGATGTTTATTATATTCTCAGCAACATTGATTTTTTTCCACTCCAGAATATAATATTATATATTCAGTAAAATGTTTTGCCTATCACATGCTTCAATGAAATATAATAAATATGTAAAAATTATGCTCAGATATCTTATAATATCACTGCTCAATAATGTTTGGAGATTGCACTGGGGTAAAAGGCTTGGAATAACACCGTTTGTCCTAATTAAACATCTGATATCTAAAGTCATATCATCTAATTTGCCTTTCCATGAAAACTTTCAAAACCATGTAAATTATGGTACCAATGGTAAAGCACGGGTAGAATCATCTCGTTTAACCCGTTCTTCAGAGAAATGGGACAAATTTTACCAAACACAAATTATACGAGGCAATATTTATAGAATAAGTTTAATTTAATAAACAATCTGCGTGATTGGAATCTACTTTCATTATTCATTTTACAGGTATAATAAATATGGCGTGATGAACGAAGAAGAATTGGTGCAACGAGCTGCTGATGAACGTGCAGCAATCGTTGCCAAATATAGACTTGGTAGGAGAGATGGAGCCAAGATTGATTCCTGGGAAGAGCCGACATTCGAAATATACCATGTCCTCGACAGATATGGGTTTATTCAGTAAGTCGAAATGTAATAATAATAAAGTGGTGACAGAGGGTTTCTTTTCAAAGAGCATCGACACAGTATCAATATTTGCTTATCTTACATTAAGCCGATATCACCTACTAAGTCAACTGTTCTTAATCTCTTGAATTCTTTCATTGCAAAACTCTTTTTGTCTCACAAGGGAATGTATATCACATTGAGACATTTAAATCAATAAACAACAATTTCTCTTGTTTGTTTTAACTGCTTTTTTTTTTGCAAAATTATTTGCATGAAAATGCTTATTCATCATGTGCCAATCTCGGTGTAACATTGTTAGAAGACAACTGGATGAGGAAATGATGTCATCTAGTTCAGATGTAATCAACAGAAATTGAACCGTACAATTTGACACTGGGCAAAATAGAACCGTAAATTGAATTCTTACTCAGTGTCAAATGTTATTGTTGCTTAAAAAGAAATAAGTTGATGAAATCATTTCATTGCTAATAAAAATTAAGTATCTAAAAAGTTTTTCTCCCTTTATTAATAAAAATAATGAATGAATAAAAAAAAGCCATTTCTGTCATGAGGAAGGTTATTATGACAACGAAAGATATTTTTATTTAATGCTTTGTTTCTTAAACGTTAAGTTTGTTTTTGTTCTTTCAAGAATAACCTTTTTCTTGAATCATAAAATTGATTTTTTATAAATTATAAAAACAGGGCATTATTCTATAAAGCAAGGCATTGAAGAGAAAATATTTAATTAAACTTGCTTTATTAAATTCACTTCACCTTTATTTATTTTTTATTTTTTAATTATTTTTATTTTGTAGCTGTAGAAATATTAGTGTAGAATAGTCTCATTGTCATTGTTTTGTCGGGATATTTTTCTTTTTGTTTTATTTATTTTTTTCCGTCGTTATTCAAGTTCATGTTCATTAAAAATCTTCGTCGCTGGATTTAGCGACAGGAATAAACATTACAGTGATGAGAGGATCACCGAATCAGCTGGCCCGGCTGAGATCAAGATTGAAAGGGAAAGGGAGAAAAAATGGCTCAAGATGCTCTCCCAGTGGAATCTGGTCTCCGGGACGGAAAAGCTCAAACGAAGGGTCTTCAAAGGAATACCAAACAGTTTAAGAGGGAAGGCATGGATGCAGATACTCAATCTGGAAAATCTCCGCAAAGATCAGCATGGAAAATATCAGGTATGTTTCTTATCATTAAAAAAAAAGTATATGGGTTTATAAAAGTATATGCAATTTAACCCTAGTTGTATTTAACGCTAGATCTGACTCAACTATACTCATGTCATTTAGTTGACCTTTTGTCCCCAATTCATTCATGACCTCTAATTATGATCACCTACATTGTTACTCTCAATTCTTCAACAGTTTTTTACTATTAAAAAAATTACGTTTATATTTTTAGTATGAAACAGTTTATAAAATTAAGTAATTCCTCACTAAACAGTATTATACATCAAAATATTTTTTAAATATTCATGTCTTTGTGGATAAAATGAGGGTGTTATACTTTTAAACATTTTTATGACCCATTGGTCTAAGAGGGGCAAATTGTTTAGCTTTGAATTTTCAGAATATAATAATAATATGTGGTATTTAGTGACCATTAATTAATGATTATTTATATGACTTTGTTTAGACTTTAAAGCATAGTTAAAAAAAGAGTCAATAAAAAGTTAAGTGGGGAAGATGGAATCTACAAACTCACACGGGTTTTTTTAATGATGTTACGGAATCATTTCTCTGACTGTAAAAGCATCATAAATACGAAAAAATGTCCATATCCATAGCTCATCACCATCTAACTAGTGGATGGACATAGACGGCTTAAGATGGCCTAGTGACTGGCATACATCTTTCCGAACAGATGGCAATTGTGTAACGGAGGCATTAGGATATTCAGTTCACTGAAATCCACTCACACAGATACTACTGAGACAAAAAGAGTCATTAAATTTTTAAGGGGAAAGAACTTGCAGGACACTTCATTTAATTTCAAATTACAAAAAAAAATCTACTTCCCATATGAAAACACTAAATATTGGCAGAAGAAAAGTTACTATGATGACTGAGTTTTATGCATGTATCTCATTAAAAAAAAAAAGATGATAAGGAATTCTCAAGGAAATTGATTTAATGGTTAAGTCAACAATGCCAATGGACCAGGCAAGAAGGTGACATGTCATAGAGCAGCAGGAGGGACAAGAAGGGCGGTGTCAAATTGAGTTGACCCCATGGGATTAACCAAAGTAGGTATGTAAAATGAGTATGGTCATGGTTTAATTACCTGTACCAAGAGATGTAGAATGAGCCAATGGCAGAAGGAGGAAGTTGGAGTCGTAAGTACATAATGTCGGTGTAATGCCATCAACAGCACATCCGTCAATTAAGCACATCATAAATTAGAAGTACATATGTAGGTGCAATGCCGTCAAAAACACATCAGCCATTTTTAAACAAATAATTAGTTATAAAGGGTGAACTTCACTGTACACAGCGCTGAACCTGTCATCGTGCTGAATGCTGCTGATTAGTGATTCTCGTACACTGATAACTGTGACCTGATGAAAGCTCGTTTTGTGAGTGCTTGTGAATGTCTACTTCAAATATAAATTGCAAAACTACATTACAACTTGTCCCAATTTGATCTCTCCTGATTCCATTATGTACTGCTCGCTATATTTTAAAAGTTATTTACAATAAGTTGCAAACACCCAGCTGCCCGGAGACCACATTCACATGCAACATTTTCTTCATGTGCTCCCGACAATTGAATTGGACATCTTGAAAAGGGGCCATCTCCAACTTTTCAAATTTTATAGGAGAAACAAAAAATGTATTATAAAGTATGAATTTTGTAGAATTGTTACCAATCTTTTTTCTATTAACAAAGGATCTTGTAGGATATTAGCATGTTGTTTTGAATAATTTTAACCCGTTCTGGTGCAGAGGAAAATTAATTTTTCATGAGGAGATGTCCTATTTTCAAAATGAACTTGGGTTTTTAAAACCAATTTTTATTTGCTATCTTTTAAAAACCACAAAAATATATTTTGCACTCCCACACCTAATTTTTTTTCTAATTTTTGTAATTCCTTATAAATAAAAGTATTACATTGCTTTAATAATAAATATTTAAAAGTTAAAACATAGAACATCGATGGTTGACGTCGTTGTCCCATCCTTGGAATCAGCAGGGTTATTAACATGCTCTGTTAACATGACTATTTCCTGACTCGCTTCTCTTTCACCGGCTCTTTTTACATCAAGGATTAAAATTGGCGAGCATTCCCACCTCAGGTAGCAGTGAGATCGACACAATTTGCCATCACTTGACAAGAATTTGCTTGAAATATAAAATAATTTGTATTGTAACTCTTTGGATGCCTATATGATCAATCAATTTGACAATTTCATGGACATTAACATTCAATATTACAGAACTGTGTTATCATATAATTTAAACTATCTTAGTTGATTAATAAATTGATTGGTTAAAATAAAATGCATTTGGATTTTTTCTTTTTTTTCCAAAGCACAAAACTTCCTTCAAGCACACCTTGATCATTACTTTTTGATTTTAGGAGATGCGAGAACTTGCTTGGAAATGGTCACCTGATATTAGACAAATAGATTTGGATGTAAATAGAACATATCGTGACCATATTATGTTCAGGGAACGCTACAATTCTAAGCAACAGGAGCTGTTCAATGTTCTCGGTGCTTATAGTATGTATAACTTGGAAATTGGCTATTGCCAAGGGATGTCGCAGATAGCAGCACTTCTACTTATGTATTTAGATGAAGAGGATGCTTTCTGGGCTTTGTCAATATTAGTTTCGGATAAAAGATACAATATGCATGGTACTCACAATTTTTATTTTTATGTATTTACTCATATTTAAACATTTTTTTAGTTTAGAATTGATTTTAACTTCAACTAATAAGTGCATAGTGCTGTATAATAATAGTTACTTTAATGCTTTTATTAAAATAAGAGCACAGTTATCACTGAAAATGCAGTTTATTATATTGTATAAACTTGTCAATGCAGTTTATTAAGATTGAATAAATATTATTTCAGGTTTCTTTATTCCCGGATTCCCTAAATTATTGCGTTACCAGGAACATCATGATAAAATCATGCATAAATTTTTGCCTAAATTAAAAAAGCATTTGGACAAAAATGGTGTTGATACTGGAATATATACATTAAAATGGTTCTTTCAATGTTTTTTAGATAGGGTAATTGTGTTTTATTGGTTTAATTTTTTTTTAATGTCTTCCTTGTTTAATAAATTATTACAATTTTGCTGTTTTTTAGATACCTTTCAGATTGACTTTAAGAGTATGGGACGTTTATTTAATGATAGGGGAAAGAGTGCTGACCGCTATGGCTTACAACCTGTTGAAATTACACAGACGAAAGTTAAGTAGCATAGGGATGGATGATATACTTCATTTCCTTCAAGTAAGTGTTTACTAATTAGTATTTCATTTGGGTGAAACAATATGATAAACTTTTTTTTTTAATTCTTAAAGGTGCATTTAGAAAAAAAGTTCGAAGTAGATGATGATGTAGCCATGGAAAGTCTTGCAAGGTGCTTAGAAGAACTGCGGAAAAGTAAATTGGATTATGCAGGGCTACCACCTCCACATGAGCTTCCGAAACAAGCATTCGGAATTTTTAAAGAGCCTACCTTTGAACAAAAGGTAATTACTATTTATAACTGTTGTTTCATAGTAAATTAATTATTGAATTATATCTATTAAATTGACTGTGCTGATAGTAATATATGTAATTTTTTTTCTGCAATTTAATTTAAGATAAATTGTTAAACATCGCAGTAAGTTATGCGAGGTGATGAAACTGCAGCTTGATTGTTGATTGTCTTTGATCATCCTGGGCTGTCTGCATATTTTGTTGTAACAAACTGGAACTTATAAAAGGACAAATTGACCAATAACACACAAACTATGCTGATACTAGCTGAAATGCCACTTTAGACAAAACCAACATGAATAGGCAGACCAGGATCAGAGACCATTAACAATTACATGTAACACAAAGGGGACCGCGGTAGCCGAGTGGTTAGCATGAGAGACTCTCACGCTGCGATCGTGGGTTCGATTCCCACCGTCGCCTCTGGCCCTTTTTTCACGATAACCCCCCCAATTTGAACACACATATAAGAATTCGTCACCATATGGCTAATATGCATAGATCATAACGAAAAAAAAAAAAAAAATGTAACAAAGAATATCTACTGATGAAATCAAATCTAAATGCAAAAGATCCAAAGTAATTAGTTTCTGTTTAAGTATCATGATTAAAATTACATACATCAAAGATAATTTAAAATTTGAATATTAATTAAAAAAAAATTTTCAGCACAATGAAAAGATTTATGAAGTTGAAGAAATGCTTAACTGGCAGAAATTAGTAATAAGCGTTTAACAATTGTGTGACTTTTGTGAAGAACTTTGACCAAGAAATGGCATGTAATCTTACAGGTTGGTAGACGAAGCATGGAGTTCAGTAATGTTGAGAAATCTGCTCGTGAAAGTGTCATACTTAGAAGGGATACGGCTGCAGCCGCTGCGCTGGTTGACTCTCCGACTCAAGAAATCGCTCCAAACGGTCACGCCAGACATTCCCACGATGAGACGACACTCCCTGGTAAGTACCTGATCGTCACCAGGCTATGAATATATTATATTCTCCTCCCTCGTCCTCCTGCCTCACTCTAACATTTTCTACAGAGCTAACCCCAATACTCTATTGATTCACAAGTTCCAAACTTTTAACTTTGAATAAAAAATAAAATAATAATAATTAAAAATAACTAAATCGAACGGTTTAAAAAAAAAGAAAAGTAACAGCAGTGTATATATGTAGGGACCAGCACTACAACTACTATTGTGGAAACGAAGATCCGTATAGTGTATTGGGTTAAAAGCTATGAAAATGTTAATAACACTTTTTCATAATTATAAATATATTTGTGATATTCAAGAGCTAGATTGTATTATTTATACATAAATATATATTTTTTAAAGAAAAAGAAGATTAACTAGACTATGATTGAATTTTTTTAATGTGTAATATTAAAGGATAAAGAAGGAAATTTACATTCCTTAAATACTCAGTTACCTAATTTAAAATTATAATTGTTGATATTTAAGTAAATAATGTATAAAGTTTAGTGTTTTTTCTTATTTTAAAGCATATTTAAATTTATCTATTTATATAGATAAAAAATAATATATTTCTACATACAACTATTTAAGCATAGTAAGTTTTATTTTTAAATTCTTCCAATTCATTCCATTTATTTTATGGTAAATTACAGAAAAAAGAACATTGTCTTATTATATAAATGTTATTTACTTCTTAAAAATTATATAATTTTTGTTTGTTAAGTTTGCAATACTAAAAAAATTTTTTTGCTCATTTTCTCTCTTTATTTATTACTGTAATAAATTATCCATATAAGGCTAGTTAATATTAAACTATTACATTAATGTATTTGGTATATATAATTGTTATATATTTTGTTTATATTTGGCATGATATTTGAATGTAAGCGATGTTCATTCGAACATCTTTGAAGATGTTACACTAAGAGAGTATGTTTTGTTATGTGCAATGTAAAATACTGATGTCGCATGTAAATTTATAGGATCTAAGTAGTGTCATGTAGGTTATCTACTTGTCAACGACTGCTTGAATGCATGATTTGAAAGACTCATTAGCATGATTAGTCCTGTAACAAAGATTTTGTTTTTGGTATATCCCTATTTAAAAACTTTTTATTGTCACATAAAATCTTTCTAATAAATATTGTTTAATGATATAATCTTTCAATATTAAACAACCAGTTTATATCATTACTATTACTAATTGCATTTGATGCTAGAAATGCATTTAAAAGAAACTTCAAGAGCGTGATGATTTTGGGAAAAATTTAATTGTCTTTGATTATATTTAAGAAGGGACTTGTGTACAAAAGAGCTGTAAATTATTTTTTGAACTAACAAAGGTTGAGACTAACTTATTCCATCTTTTTTTTTTTTTTTTTAATTAATAAAATATTGCCCACACTGGCCAAAACTGATGCAAAACCAAAATAGAAGCCAAATCCAAACTGCCAAAAAAAACCATATAAATTAAAATATCAAATTCACTTAGATGCTCTTTTGCAATTGTCGTATAAAAAGCATGCTTATGCATTTTTTAACCTTGGGCATATAGCGCACAATTTAAAATATTGACACGTACACAAAGAAGGCTTTGGACATTAGCTGAATACGCACTAATTCGCTTAACATCAATTTGACACCTTTTTATTAAATGTGACATCAAATTTGATCTCTGACTAAAAAAAAAGGTAAGTCCTTTTCTGTACAAATGGCTTAGTTTTAGATAAGAGAAAGCACAGTTCTTATTAAATGAAATTTCTATCAATATATTATAATTTAGCTTTTGCAACAAAATAAACAAAAATGGCTTTAAATTATTGTTAAATTTTAATTCCCCCCTGGAAGTCCCTCAATCTACAATAAATAGCTGTTGACATTTATTATACAATTATAACTTTTGTCTTAATTTAGTATAACTTCACATTCAGGATGTATAATTTCATCGAGTTTAATTGATGGTATACATCAAAAAGTCATGACAGTATCAACTTTAAAAACACTGCATGTTTTTTTTCACACATTTTCAATCATAGGCCTGTTTGTAGACAGATTGTTAGCCCACTATTTAGAAGTGCTGTTTAAAAATGTTTAATATTTTAAAACAAAATTCAATTGAAATCACCAAATGCAACAATTTTTTTTTACTTCACAGAACACTGCACTGATTAACATACTGTGAAAACATTTCAAATGATTAACCCACTCATTGGGATGACCAATCCCATAATATGCTTACTAGTTGTATAATTATTTGCAGTGTCTAACCAAAAGATTCATCCAGATCCTGAATCCTCTTTTTCCTCTGTCCCAAGATCCTCAAGCCTCTTCAAACCCCACTTTTCCAATCATCGCAACAAAATTCAGCCTGCCCCTGAATAGCGATGAATGAGTGAGGCATTAACTCAATCATACACGCACAAAACCTTCCTTGGATTAGAGTTTTCGAGACCAACAGGACACTGACTGCCGACTCCTTGATATTTCTTTATAATAATGGGTAAGGGACTTTCCGTATTTTAATTTAAATTTAAATAAGTGCTTAAGTATTTGTTTTAATATTTCTTCCAATGGTGTCTCATGCCTCTCATCTTAACTAATACATTAAAAAACACAAAAAAGTATGTTTGCACAAAACTTTAGGCTTTGGACACCATTGTTTCACTTAGAGGGGTAAAGAAAGATCAAAAACCAAAATAATTCATTATTTTGTTATTAATAATTATTGTTCAATAGTTCATTAAATTATCTTAAGTTTTTTTTTAATTAAATCTTTCTACACCCCATTCTAGTTGGTGGTAGTTGTTAGCACATTTTAATAACAATATTAAAAAATAATTTTATATCAGTACATTTTGGGTGATTTTTTATTTGTAAAGTGCTATTCAGAGGTATGCATGGGGCGGTTAACAGTCTATTTTGATGAGACAACACACAGAAATAATATAACTTCAAATTAAAAAAAAAAATTAACTCATTTTGCCCCTTGAGACCACATTGTATTTAAATTAATTGATATCATTGTTAATTAATAATAATAATCATCATATCAGATAATTCCAAGAGCAAAACTTGGTATTCAATATGACACACAAGATTGAAGATGTGATGTCTTTCTGGAAGTAGTCTCATCAAAACTGGTGTACAAATGAGAAATTCTTGACTACATGACTACATTATTTATTGCAACATCTTCAATTTGTTTTAGTTTTAATTTTTTGATCTTCTTTCAAAAGTGGTAGGTAAAGGTAATCAACTCAACAGCTACTTTTGATTACACACCTCTGTTTGTCTTTTCTTTTCTTTTCTTTGTTCTTAGCATGCATGTTTGCTTGTAAAAAGGATTATTTGTGCGTGGATGTTAAGGTTTTATTGAAAATTTAGCAATGTTTGTTCTTGATTTTGAATTGCAAAGAAAAACCACTTGACAGCTTTGCTCAATCGAATAGTGCTAGTGATTTTGGAGTTTCTTTATTTTTTTATTTTCTTTTATTTTTATTTTTTTATATTTAAATTCAGTCTTGTTTCTACTTTTTACTTAATTTTTAATTATTGGACAAATATGATTTTTTTTCTTCTTTCTGACATGAATAGTATGAATTAATTATTAAAAAATAATTGAATTTTTAAACAATAGAACACTTCATTTAAAAAATTTATCTTTGATTTTGAGAGTATTATTTAATTATACAAATAATCTTAATTCAGTGTTTCAAAATAATACGTACATTTTAATTCCAAGGGGTGGAAAATCACTGGAAAAACTGACACCTGTAGGTAATAGTTTGTACCTCGTATTGTGAAAAATGAGAGAGCATTTCACGAACAATGAATTTTATTTAAACAATTATTAGACTGCTAATGCAAATTTAAAAATTATACATCCAGAAGTTTGATACATAGTATCTAGTGATACCTAAAGCAAACATGTAGGGTAGATTTTAACCCAATTTGAAAAATGAAAGAATTTTTTTATTCCTGAAATGATGACATGTGTGGAAAAAGTTTTTTTCTTATTCAGTCTGTTTAAATAAAATGTGTAAGACAACTTAAACAATTAAATTTTTTAAACATTCTACCCTTATAAAGCAAGTTATACATATCGTAAATATCACCAGGCCTACTTGTTAAGTAACCCAGTGGAAAGATTCTTTGGAGTTTAATAGTAGTTTAAAACAATGTAAAACAATTGACATTTATGATTAAATGATTTTTAGACAAAAAAGACTAGCAAATATTTGAGGTATTGTAAATTTTTAATTATATTTTTGTTATTTTAGTCCGTGTAATAGTCAAGTCATTTTTATAATATTGAGGTAAATATTTTGTTTAACAATTAAATTTTCTAGAACATTTTTGTTTTTATAGTTGATATGGGAATTACAAATATATGATTTGTTTATCTCTTAAGAGGATTGAAAGGATGGCTTAATAGAGGCAAAAACATTCTTCAGGGCTATACAAACTTAATTAAAACTATATTAATCATGCATTTTTATATTGGAAAAGAAAAAAATGGATTAAGATAGTTTCTCCCAAATAGAGCCATAAGGTCACAGTAACTTGTGCCAAATGAAAATGTATTAAAAATTGTTTCAGGGTGTGTCGATGGCCGCCACGATTAAGGCATGGTGCATACATTAATGTAAAGGCTCACTTAGAAATGAACTTTTTTTTTTTTTTCAAAACCACTGACCCCAAGGGTTGTTTTAACACTGTTACGAACCCTTGTTAAAATAAAATAAAATAATAAACACCCTAATAACAGTTATTATCACTGAATGGATGACAATAAAATATTTTATTAGACCACACTTCAATCCTCACCTTTTATTTTTAAAATAACTGGTGCAGTGCCTATTGAAATTTTCTTCTTTGTTAATAATTGTAACTTTCAAATTTGCTAATTCCATTTTGTCAATATGAATCATTCTACAGAGTAAAAAATATAGTTTTATTGATTTAGAGGAGGGGAATATAAAACTCTGAATGTACTGATCATTCAAACAGATTACATTTGAATGCTTATAAAATTGGTTTACTTTAAAAGCAGTTCTGTACAAATGTATTAATATGAATGAGGCATGTGTCTTAAACTGATTTAAACTTATCTATAGCACTGGTGAATTTTTGATTTTTAAAATTTGTTCCAGGTTCCAAATTTTCCCTAGAACAAAGCATGGATGATGGAAGTTCATTACTCGGTGAAGGCTCTCATAGGTCATTAGCTGAAACGAGCATCACTTCAACGGCAGATCTATCGGTATTCAGTTCTGCGCCAAGATCTCAGGCAGCCGACACACACAGTTTAGACACAGATCAAGGTTCCGGCCCACCGACTCCAACCCCTAGGTCTCCTGATGTTTTGCGCATCTATGTGCCGTCTCCTCCAACGAATGGTGATATTACACGCCCTCCTAATCTTGACAATAAGATTCGTATTCTTGTTATGGACCAGACACCTCAAGAGGAGAATACCCCCCTTGTTGAACTGGCGTCTCCTTTCCAACCTATAGACCTAAAATGAACTATAGTTTCTCTTAACTTCTCTTCATGGGTGTCTTTATAGGTCTGATAATTTTTGTGATAGTCTTTTAAAAAGATAAAATATCCTTTTGTTATAGATTAGATGCTAATTAGGTGCCAATTTTTTTATTCGGGATTAATGAACGTTTTTCTACTTCATGATGTTTTATTTTCTTAAAGGAGGAAAAATTGGACTCAAAAATTAAAACTTATTGAAAAATAGGTTGTAATATCTTTTAAACAAGTGGCACAAATATTTCAAATGCGTACAGTGGTTTGGTTTTAAATTTATTGGTGCTAGTTTGCAATACTGTATTGTACGAAATTGACATATACTGAAACAAAAAGAATGTATACAATTGTAAAAAGAGCTATGTTGCACGAAGGTGGTCACCCACAGTTGCTTCTAGTCACCTAACAACGATCAATAAATGATCTTAAATGTAGCTTGTGTGCAATAAAATTATCCTTTTAGTTAAACACAAATTTTGATATTAAACGTGATTTATATATATCAATCATTCCATTCATATTAAGCATTTATATAATCATTCCATTATTTTGATTATTGCATTTCTGAAAGACTTAACAGTCAACTATTCCTTTTAATTGAAGACCTTGGAAATTTTGCTTTAATTTTTAATTTTGTTTGGCAATGTATGAACTTTTTTATTTAATATAAAGGCAGCTTTATAAAGCTGAGCAAAATGTAAAAAAATAACTATTTTTAATTACTACATTTCAAACAACTCTTTTCAATGGAAAGGAAAGGGTGTTACTTCACAGTTTTTGAGCAATAATTACTATACATATGTAAAATATACAGTTAAATACATACGTTGTTTGATTAAATTTGACATTTTATTTTTTAATGACTATTTATAACTTGTATCTTTGAAAAAAAAATCATCTTTATAAATATGTATATTTCTTAATTATAAGTAATAAAAAACAAAAAACTTTTTCCTATTTAAATATAGTTATTCAAATGTAAAGCATTTATTAAATATTGTTAATTATTTTATCGTTGATATTTTTATTAAAAATAATATATTTCAAAAAATGATTTATAGTCTTTTTAAATGCCTTATTAAAAAACCAAATAAATAAAATAGTTGTTATATTTATTTTCTTTCTATCTTTTTTTAAATTATTTTATATTTACCGAAATCGCTGTCACTTTTTACAAGAGGATGGCTCAAAGGGTACATAAATTCCCAAACATAACTAACAAATTCACATCTATTGTATAATTCTTATATAATAAAAACCAAAACTAATGTTCAGCAATATTGGATGTAATCTATAAAATTGTGTATATAAATCTTTTAACTTAAATTGTTTCTTAAGAAACTAAATTATTGATATATGTATTATCGCAATGTACATGTTTTAGAAGTCATAACATATTTTCATATCTCTGTATATAGTTGTATTTATGACTAATTTTATTCAAAATAATTTGGAGGTCAGTTAGACAATTTTCCGCTGACTTTGTCTGAAAGGAAGCAACAATTCAAGTGTGTTAGTAATATTAATAAATAAATTTTCTTTTCTATTGTTACAATTTTATGTCTCATGATTATTTCCCTGGTCTCATTTGTGAACAGGTAACAAATTACATACCTATTATTTTGTTTATGTTTATGAACTTGCATTATATTAATTGCTATGCGACATATATTGAATGGACATATTATTATATGTTTAATGGGTTTAATAAGTTGTATGTTTAATATAATGTATTGAGAAAAAGTGAGAAAATAAACATACCTTCATGGTTCTGGAAAACCAAATAATTATTAGCACTACTATACATGGTGACGACGTACTTGTCTTTTTAATGAGGGTATTTCATTTGCGAGGTTATGTACGAACCCTCGTACTGAATACTGGTGTTTTTGGAAAAAAAGTCCATTTGTAAGTATGTCGGGTTCAAATGCAGGGTCGCTGGATTCGAACCTAGGACCTTTACCTCATAGTAATGAATGCCATGTTAACACCTAAATCAATGGGTCACCAACGCTCCAAAATTGTTTTTTATTACATGTTTACAACCTGAATTAACAACGACGGATTAGCAACTAGCAAGTTAAGAAAACAAGATAAAAAATATGAGAGCCAGTAAGAAAGATACATTAAAAAATGCAGTTTTCTGTTTTATGGCAGAGGGCTGCAAGACCACTAGATGGTTGTTGTCCATAAAAGGAACACATACTACTAAGAAGAAGAAACAAACAACTATCAAGATAGGAATGTTCATTACCTTGCAGGCATCACGTATATCAACAAATATTACATCACAAAAAAATAATTGTGTGGAACTTACAAGAGACTGCATCCAGAAGAAAGCATTTCAACAAACACAAATCTAATAGGCTTGATTGATTGATTTATATAAGCTTAACTCTACACATACATAGTACAGAATAGATCATATGGAGCAATCTTTGCAAAACATGCCGGATACATAAGTATGCAGGTTTGTCCCAAAAGTAAGTGCCCTGGTGTCAACCTTGCATGGCCTATTCTTAACCTGGAAAGTAGCCATCTTTTTGATTGGGTCCTCCATTGGCCGAAAACTAATAGACAATTTATATTTTTAAATTTTCTTTGTTGTATTAGTTTTGTATTAACTACATTTTTTTTTTAATTGTTCTGCATTGCAACTCATTAAGGATTGAAGTTGGGTGTTGGCCTGCTAGTGAACCCATGCTGAATCAGTATTGGGCCATTAATTGGGTTCCTCTTCACTCGCGGGTTTGTTGAACTAATTAAATATGTTTCGGCATTGAGCCATCATCAGTGAGGAACTTTACATTCATAATTTTTTGGAATTTACACTTAATTTTTCCTTTCCGGAGAGTATAGCCAGGCCAAAATGTTTCAGAAAGCTAAAACAAATAGTAAAGTATTTCTTAATCTTTCATTTTCTTCTTAAAATATTTTACCAGTGTGAGAAAGTTTAATAATTCCATCTATTGGTGAAACAAACACAGTAGTATCTAGGTAAGAAAATTTTAAAGGATAATTTTCCTAACAATAATAATTACAATTTTGAAAGCAGCTCATTCAATAATGACGATATGATGAGTAGTTTTAAATGTAGATAAATTGTTCCAGGAATCAATCAACCTGGTCTGCCCATATTTGGTGAATTTTTATGTTAAAAATGCTTCAGAATTGCAACATCTTCAGTGCAATAGCGCAAAATAAATTTTCCAACAATCTGCTGCTTAGTATTAATTTATTCCAAAATTGGTTAAGCATAAATACTTTACTTAAAAAAATATTGCTTATTTGTTGAAAATAAATTAACTAATATTAAAAATCTTTAACATAGCGAAACAAAAAATAAAGAAAGAAGACGCCCGAATACTGTAATTTTAGATTTTGAATAAATTATGGGTTAGCCGTTTCCTGGATTTTGGAATACGTGCATCCAACCACGAAAATGAACGCGTCCCGTTAACTTGAATCTAAATTCAAAACTTCTGCTTGAAAAATTCAGAACATAATATTACAAATTATCATATATCAAAATATATTTGAACCATTTTGAAAATACGTGATTCGGTTGATCGTGCGCAACTATCGCTCCGACGAAGTGAAATATTCAATGTACTAAAAAAAAAAACGCATATCTGGCGGGGTTTAAAATTACAATTTATTGTTTATATTGTTCATAAATCTACAGCTAATGGCTAATCTCGGTGGTATTTCAATTAATTTCAATATTATGTATGTTAATCTATGTTAGTCGTGTCCCTTTTTCTCGGTCTTTAAAAAGTGGAGGTGAAAGGAGATGTGTCTTTGTACATTACGCTGACAGAAGAGATTGAAAGCTTCAGCTGAAGAAATTTGTCTAGTGGACAATTGCTAAGGTTGATGCTGTATTTTTGTCCGACATTGCTGATGAATGCGAGGTACACAAGCCAGAATTACTTTTAGTGAAAACTATGAATGTCTTACTCAATGGCTTTTTCAGATGGCAAATCGATGTTGATCTTTTATAGTTTTAAAAGCAAAATCACGAACTTGATCAAGAATACAACTGCATATTTGAAACAGAAGTAGCTAGCGTCTTGCCTTTCCCTACTTATACCTTGATGTACTTCTACTATTGACTTGTTTCGGCCAAGCTTAAGATATTTTAATTGACGGCGCTTTCCAAACAACGAAAACGTGAAATTAGCATTTGTCTCAAACTGATCGAATCACCACCAAATAACTGAATGAAAAATGGGTAACAATTTTTTTATATTAATATTTATTTAGAAATCGTGAGATGCGGTCTAGTGTGATGTAGGTTTCAGAAAAAACATTTTCTTTATCGTGCCAACGTTTCGATCTTTATTGAGATCATCTTCAGGGCTCAAAGAGTTTGTCTTCTGTGTAATTGTGCCATTCTTGCGTGTCGTGTGGGCACTCTCGACACGACACGCAAGAATGGCACAATTACACAGAAGACAAACACTTTGAGCCCTGAAGATGATCTCAATAAAGATCGAAACGTTTGGCGCGATAAAGAAAATGTTTTTCTGAAACCTACATCACACCAGACCGCATCTCACGATTTCTAAATAAACATCGACTAACGGTCACTAATCACCACACATTTTTATATTAATGTGGAATAACATTGCTATTTTTGTTATTAAGTACACAAGGAACTTAGACAAAACTTAAGACTATAAGGCTAAAATGATACGAATCTTAGTCATTTTTACATTATATCCACCACTGGCAGATATTTTTTTTAGATTTCATCCTGTACAAGGTAAAAAAATATGATGAAAATACTATTATTTGACTATCATTCGGAATAAAATCACACAGGAAAGATGAAGGAGGGAACAAAAATCACAGGATGATACAAGGTTGGTTTATTTTAACTTAATTATTTTTTAAACTAGTTTTAGTGTATGAAGTTGCACGTGAATGTTCACTAAATTTAAACTTTTAATAATGTCCATTGCTTCGTCTCTCTTTTGCGTCGATTTTTTTAAAAAGCACAACGGATATTTGCATGGGATCTACAAGAAAGAATCCAAGGCGAAGTTTAAAACACCATTCGCAGGCGAGGTACATCTCTCAGGAAATGGTAAAGAGGTACCACGTGAAATGCTAATTTATCCAAACACCAATGTGTCAACAAGTCGCAAATAAATTCAAATAACACACCGATTCTTTAAAAAAAACGATATCTTTCGATTAAGCTTTAGTTAAACAAAATATAACTCGTTCAAAAATATGCACGAGTCAAATATTCTTAATGTACTGCCATGACGGTCAAACGTTGTATTAATCACAAAGAGATGGATATTTGATTACAGACGATTTTAAACATACATACAATACTTACTATACAAACTAAACTACACATATATACACCACGATACAAATATGATACTTAAAATATTAAAGCACTATAGATGAAAAAACTAGTTAAACCGTCAAATTTGTGCAAATACACTACGATTGTCTCGGTTGGAGAATATACAGCTCGTTGAAACATCACAATAGTAAAATGCACCTAAAATTTTCCTAAGACAGATCACTACGAGAAGTATATTCAACTACAAATTAATCAGTTTAACTGTAGTGACCACACAATACGTATTCACAAAATATACAAAACAATTCTATATACAATTGTATAAAGTACACAAATTAGGGAATTATGGAATGCACCACTTCGATCAACTTTGAAACTTGAAAGAATGCAATGCATGATTTGGTCAACGACTTGATTAGTAAAGTAAAGAGATCAGGGATGAAGCCATGCAGGTGAAAGAATCAGGACCACATGTCCAGACCAATTGTAAAGTTTTTTAAATAGTTTTTCAAAGTCCTGAGGAAGGCGTCTAATACAGCCGAAAGCTCGACAGCAGAAAAACAAGTTTGTTCTTTCACCTGCATGGCTCCATCCCTGATCTCTTTACTTTAATATTTATCATGAAGGTCGAACTCAACGAGACTTGATTAGTCCTTTTATATAAATATCTACAATACCTAAATACAATATTAGGTAAATTGCATGTTAGGCAACTGTATCGATAATTCTAGGCCAGTTTCTTCTTTCCAAGTAGACCAAATAAAAATATTTCCTAACTTCTTTGGTAGAGAACTGGATTGCTTTAAGTTTATTATCTTCCGAAAGAACCCTAGCAGATTTCTTGCCTCCCTTAGGTACGGCAAAAAGTTAGACGAGGGGAAAAAACCAGATCGCAAAAATGCTAAACTGAATTGATTGGTGGTACAAGACATAAGAGATGCCACACGTTGGACTTTGTCTTGAAGACATTCGCCAGGTTGGACTGCCAGGAAAAAGTTGGAATCTAAGAGCTTCAAAAGATCTGATTGTGAATAATTTAATATATTATGTTTTTGAAAATGGTTGGTGTTCACTTGAGAATAATTAATTATTTACCCTCACAATACGTAGGAAATTGTTGTTTAAAGCTAATGTTGGGTTCGAAATTTAGAGAAAGTTGATATAACTAAAATTTACCCATGCAGATGATTTTTTTTGTGTGTGTTTGGCTACTGACTTATCGATTTTAGAGGAAATGACTGATGGAAATCACCAATGTCCTTTGATCCTAATATGAGATAACATTCATTGCTCACAACGCGCCGAGTTCAGGTCACGTCAACAGTAGATGAAAATAATTCAACGTTGGTTTAGGAGCGGAATGGACGAAACAGACATGGATGAAATAACGACGATGAATACGCCCAAGACGTGTGTCGAGGTGAAAAACGCCTACAAAAGTTACCCTGGAAAAGGAATTGTACTCAAATCGTTAAACTTGTGCGTCAAAGAAGGGACAATGTGGGTCTTTTTTGATTGTGCACGTGTCCCTTGATGGCTTATTTAATTATCCCTATAAAATTAAAGTTGCAGTCTTCTGGGCCCGAGCGGTTGCGGTAAAACGACACTGTTGAGCGCTTTGGTTGGAAGGACAAGGCTCGACTCTGGTCAAATAACCATGAACGTTGCCTACAGATCAGAAATTGGTTATATGCCTCAGGTCAGTTGTTGCTAATTATGAGCACCAAACCGAACACTATAGTTTTCAAACACTTATCAGTATAATTTTTTGTTGACATTGAAGTTACCTATTTCAATTAAAATTTAATTTTAATTTTTGATTTATAACTGGACTGTTGTTAAAAATAATTGTGTATTAAGAAAATATTAAATCCTTAAGTCGATTTTTAATTCATATTTGTTTTTTGTTTTTAATCAATTGTAATAAATCGGGGCTGTTGATATAAAATAACATAAGCTTTCATCAACTACAATTAAGGAACAATGGAGCGTACGAGATAACGCTCCAATACATCGTTTATTAGGCCAAGTTCGCTGAAATGTCTTGTCTCTCCCTACTTATACCCTGATGTAAGGTCTTTTCACGTTAGTTGTGAATGTAAAGAGTTAAATGGCAGGTTTGCTCAATTGTGAGCAGATGGAAAAAATTTGGTGGTAACTATTGGTCTGCGAGTTCAACAGTGGCTTATATGCTCCTGCCTCTCCTTACTTATAACCGAACTCTTTTAAATTTTTTTAAAAGTTCACCAATTTGAAACACAAAATGATAAATGAAATAGTGATGTTTTTCGAGTAAAAAATAAATTGCGCATTAAGAGATTATTAAATCCTTAATTATTTGAGATTATTAACCTTATTAAAAATTTAATTATTTGTCATAAAATCTGGCTGTTTATATAAATAATAATAGATTTGGTCAATGTAACAAAGGAGCACTTAGTGTTCGAGACAACGCTAGGCAAGAGGCTGTAGCCAACAGTGATGAAGTGTCACGCCTCTCCCTACTTGTAACCCTGATGGTCTTATCAAGTCATTTCACTTGAACTTGTCCGTTTGCTCAATTGTAAGAAAACAGTGTTTGGTGTTTGTGTCCTGCAAGTGAATGAACAAATTGATAGACGGTCAACACTTAACTGGGTCCGTCTATACTCGCTGGTTTATCGTTTCAGTGGAGTTTATTATCATTTCAATGAGTTTATGTTATTTCTTGGGTGATTGATTATTGGTCCCTTTTTATGTAATAAAAACACTGAAAATTTGGTTGTTTGTTGGCCTGGGAGTGGTTACACCCATGTTGAACTGATCGACACTCGTCGCTTTACTAGGTTCGTATATATTTCTAATTTTTATGCAAAACGGCTTGGAAGAAAAATTACTGTCTTGAGGGGGACTCGAACCCACGACCTTCGGCTCAATACGCCGGTGCTCTAACGATTAGAGAAACTCTAGTTATATCACCGGTGTATTGAGCCAAAGATCGTGGGTTCGAATCCCGCTCGAGACACTAATTTTCTTCTCAACCGTCTTTGCATAAAAATTAGAAACAATAATTAATAATAAACAAATAACTAATTAAATATTCCATCTATATTCCCTGGTTAACCGTTTCCCTGAGGATTATTGTCTTTGCAATGTGATTCTGTTATTTCTCGGTTCTTTAGGGCTTTATCGGTCATTTTTCTTGTAACTATTATACAAGAAAACAAGCGAGAATTTGTTAGTGTTTGTTGACTTGCGAGTGGATGGAAAACTCATGATGATCGACACTCATCACTTTGTTATAAACATATAAACAAACCAGCGAGTTCAGCAGTGGGTAATATGCTCTTTCTCCTCTCCCTACTTATAACCCTGATGTTATTCCCTTTCATTTATTTTGCATTTGTATTTTTGTGAGGAGAAATTGAATCAAATCTTGACTGAAAGACTGGCAAAATGATTTGGTCTATTTTTTTATCAGTACAACGTAGGTTAAAACATCATAACCATTGAAGGCTGAGTCTCAACGTAGTTGTGTTATTACTTGTTATTGTACCAATAAACTGGTTTTATGTACAAGAACTTCTGTAGCGTAGTAAAACTTGTAGGCTTTTGATTTTTTAAACTATCTTCTTAAAGTTTTCCAAGCCAATGATATACCAAATATGCTTTCACATGACATTTGAAGAAGACACTTGAGTCACGCTACGTTTGGCCATGTAAACGGAAAGGGTTTTTAAAAACATTGTACCGTTATTGTTCAAGATGGTACTGCATGAAAACCTATTATTTCCCCCAAAACAATGATTGCCTGTCAAAAAAACTTACTATCATAGTAGAGTAGGAAAGTAGGCAGAACTATTCCATGGTGTGCTTTTTTTAAATGAAAATTTAATTTATTTATTATTTATCTTTAGTTAATTAATTATTTTATTAATTTTAAGTAAAAAAGAAGAACACTGTTCATTTATTAATTTAATATTATGTTGGGAATGCCAATTAGTCAATTATTCAGAAAGACTATGTATACATTGTAAAAAGTGAAGAAATAGGCATATGGGACTTTAAACAAAAAAGGTTGTATTGTAATGTCAGAGTTTATGGTGTTTAGGAATTAAGCCTTTACCAGGAGTTCAGCATAAAAGAGCACATGATGTATTACGGATTCCTCCACTCCATGGATAGAGATAACATTACGCAAAGAATGATTGAACTTATCGACTTCCTCGAACTACCCGACGTGGAAAGCATAATTGCCCATTTAAGGTAAAGCCGAGCTGTAAACTAAGTCAAATATGAAATTTACGTTTGTTTACAAAAGTGGAGGACAACAACGCAGAGTATCACTGTCCATTGCTCTTCTTCACAACCCGAAACTTCTTATCCTCGACGAGCCGACCGTCGGCGTAGATGTCATCCTCTGTCGCAGGTTTTTATTCATTACGTATAAACTAGGAAATAATTATGAATCGTGTATATATTGCAGTATATGGGACAAATTAGTTCGAATGTCGCGAGAAGGTAAAACGATTATTATAACTACTCATTATATAGAAGAGGCCAAACGTTCAGACATGGTAAGCAAATTATACAAAAAACATTTAATTATTATTAACGATTATTTTTTTTAATAAAAGCATCAATTTGTTGAAGGAAGTGAGTTGAAGGAATTAATAAGATGTTGATTGTAAGAAGTTTTGTTGAGGTGTTCCGGTCATCCTTGAATGCCTGTCTTTGCCGTTATATCCGTAAGACCGGGATAATAGGAATATCAGACTGCAATTTGTGGCAACACAGATTGCACGAATTATTATAGATTTAGCAAGAAGATAGCACTTAGTTGTAACTAAGGTCAATTATACCTGAATAGGCGGGTTCAGGGTAAAAGTAAGTCACGTTCTTCATCCAACCTCTTACGTAATCGCAAGAAATACAAACATTTGCATATTAATGGAAATGTTATCACTTTCAGTGTAACAACACTATGTTAAGAAAGAGCGGAACAAACAAACGAAATGTGTTTTTATTTGTAATTTTGTTCTGTTTCAAAGATATGATCTAAATTGATCCGGAAATATGATCGTTTATCCTTTTGATTTTTTAATTATTCAGAAATCGTGAGATGCGGTCTGGTGTGATAGTTTCAGAAAAACATTTTCTTTATCGTGCTACCGTTTCGATCTTTATTGAGATCATCTTCAGGGCTCAAAGTATTTGTCTTCTGTGTAATTGTGCCATTCTTGCGTGTCGTTTTGAGAGTGCTTCAATTACACAGAAGACAAACACTTTGAGCCCTGAAGATGATCTCAATAAAAATCGAACGTTGGCACGATAAAGAAAATGTTTTTCTGAAACTATCACTCCAGACCGCATCTCACGATTTCTGAACAATTATTGATTAACGTCACGAATCACCACACACTTCTGATTTTTTTTCTTCCTTCCTGGTTGTTGGCTTATTTAAAGATTTTTTAAAGGTTTAAAATTTTTAAAGATGATTTTTGTAGTGATAAAGTGAGATGGAACTAGTGGCTTATTTTCACCCTGACAATTATTTAATGACCTACCCTCCTACCTTAGTGCCCCCGATTGCTTCATAGCTAAGCTTCGCGATTTAGGCTCATTTTGTATATTACGAAGCTATATGTCGAACTGCGGGCATATTTTTTGTGGGGGGGATGATATTAACAAGTTTGACCTGAAATCATCGTGTGTAATCTTCAGCATCTTCAGCAGGACAGCATAAATTAAAATTCCATGTCAGCTTAATGTTTCTGTGTGTAATTGGACATGAGGTTCTTGGGTATTGAACATTTTGACTGTCACATAACTTTCCTGGTGCGAAAACCGATTGCCGTTTTGGACTTAAAAGATTGAAATAAATTGTACACCAGTCCCAACTGCTAATAGCCTGTTATGCCTTTTTTTTATGCCACATGTAAAATATGGCAATGAATTCTTCGGTTCTTTGTTTGTCAGTGTGTGTTCGTCAATCAATTTTTCAACATTATAAATCGTATGAAAGATCCAAGTTAGTCCTTTGTCAAGATAGTGTCCGAGGTATCGTACATGCTTCAACAGGGATGACAACATTGAAGTATATTGGTGGATGCATTTTCTTATTTATTATAAAAAATAGTACTATTTGGATTTGGTTTCCTTGATCTTAATGGATGTGCAAGCGCAAGCTACTAGCTACTTTATCCTAGGATCCTATCTTACCGATCGTCACTTCCAAATATCCTATAAAACTTTGATATCTATCTATTTCTAGTAGGTGTCCCACAGGGCAGCGTCCTCGCTCCACCGGATTACTCACTCTACACTTCTGCCCTACCCACTTAACCAAATCTAAATAATCAGTCAGTAAGAATGTAGTTATCAAACAGCAATTGTTAATTCTATATGTGATCAGGGATGGGATCCAGTATGGATATAGTTATTGACCAGCAGTTGTTGATTCTATATATGATCAGGGATGTTTCTATATAGATAAAGTTATTGACCAGCAGTTGTTAATTCTATATATGATCAGGGATGTGATTCTGTATAGATAAAGTTGTTGACCAGCAGTTGATAATTCTAACTATAGAAGTCCTCTAGTCTAGTTCATTCACCACATCCCTGATCCATATCTAAAAATAGCCATAGTAAAATTAAATGTCTTTTTTCAAGCAAAAAAAAAAACTTTTAGATTGCATTTCTAAGAAATGGTGTTATGCTAGCAAAAGATGAACCAGACCGACTATTGGAAATTCATAATTGCGACACGCTAGAGGGAGTCTTTCTAAAACTATGTAAACAAGACATGGACAGGAATGATTGTAATTACGATGCAAGTTGTACCAATTCACATACTTATATTAATTGCATTATATTAATTGCAATACAACGATATTTAATATACGTTAGGAAATGAAAACAGCAAACTTGGTCAAATCCAAGCAGGAGTGTCATTTAAAAAGTGACGATTTCTTCAACTGGAATCGAATGGTGGCTTATATGTTAAAAAACTTTTTCTGGATGAAGAGAAACACACCGTAAGACTTATTCACTTAGTTTTTTATTTCCTTTTTTTAAAGCATTACATGTGGTTTTTAGAATGATGCTGTTCACTCTCGGCCTCCCTATCCTTCAGTGTACATTAATTAGTCTTGCGGTAGGGGAGGACCCAAAAGGTTTGTCCCTGGGAATAATAAATGACGAAATGCCAAGGCAAATGTGGCTTGGATGTTATGACCATCCAGTGATCGGCTGTACAGAGAATTTTCGGCTGTCTTGCCTTTATATCAACATATTAAAAAAGAAACCAATTATTATTGTACGAGTGAAATTTGTTTTGTATTATTAAATTTTTTTGTCTGAATATAAGCACTTTTATAGAAGGAGTACACCGAAGTGGATTTGGCTTTAAAAGCAGCAAAACAAAACAAATTATGGGGTGTGGTTCATTTCAATAAGAATTACACAAAAGCGATTGTACAAAGATTTACAAAAAGGAACGAAATAAATGACGAAACTATTAATGACAGTGAAGTCAACGTCTGGCTCGATATGTCCAGTAGGCTGAATGCAAATTATATTTTTATTTTTTATTTTAACACTGTGATTATTAATTTAATAACACAAGAAAAAGGTCTAAAATAAAAATTTATTAACTGTTAAAGATTACGTCATTGGATCAGTAATGAAAAAATATTTGACCAAAACGACTATCGAATTCACCAAGGCAATCAGCAATCGTTGCAATTTCTCAAAGGGAAACGACAATATTGCACTGAAGGTAATTCAATTAGGACATTTTTAACAAAAATTTTACAATTTTGTAATATCAAATTTTTTAAGATGGAAGCGCCCGTTTTTGGAAGCAGAGTTGCAAGCTTTCGTCAATTCATGACACCTGCGAACGCTGTTCTGTACGTTTTAAATTTTAGACCACTTGAATGTATTAATTGATTTGTTTGTTTGTTTAGATTTGAATTTTTCCTTCCAATGATGTTCACTTTAGGAGCTTTGCTCATGGAAAAAAATTCAGGATTGCTAGAAAGAAGTCTGGCTGCAGGTAGCAAATTTTAGGACTTATTAACATTATTATTACTTATTAATTTATTTAACATTAGGGACTTATTAACTTATTTAACATTAGGATGCTCTGATGTAATAAGAGTCTGAATGGCTGAATGCACAATTTAAATCATAAACATACCATTATTTTACTCTATTGTTTGTATAATTTATGTCATTATTGATACAGTGTGATTATCACAACAAATTTCGTCAGGTGCTTCTACACCTCAGTTGCAACAAAAAAGTTTGTAGGAACCATGGTCCGGTTCTCAACCATTTCGCAGATAGGCAACTTTTTTTTCAATTTGCTAAGTTTTCGTTATAAATCTACTCGTAGCTCTTGTACTATTCATTTTTGGGAAAATCTAAAAAAAGCAAAGAAAACAGTGTTAAATTTCCTTTAAGAAGGCACCCTTCCAATTTAATTTTTGACAAAAAAACACCAAATCTTTCAGAAACTGCTAAATTTAAAATGAGTAAAAAAATTAAATTTGCAACCTTGTTGAAAAAATTCACGGCAGAGCTTGGCACATTTCATAACCACTTGTTCGTTTAATAAGCTTTAAAGAAGAAAAATAGTATACAGCTAGAAAGCTTATTAGACGAAGTGGTTATGAAATCGGCTAAGCTCTAATGTGAATTTTTCCAATGAGGTTATAAATTTATTTTTTTCAGAAACTTTAAATTTAGAAGTTTTCGAAAGATTTAGTGTTTGTTTTTTAAGCAATAACCAAATGGAAAGTTCTAAAGGGATTTCTTTTGAAAAGAAATATAACGCTTTTTAATGCTTTTGCTGGATTCCCGAAAAATTAATAGTTCAAGAGCTACAAGTAGATTTATGACAAAAACCATAAATAGGTTAAAAAAAATAGAGTGTTGAAAATCTTTCGTGGTCCATACGAACTTTTTTGTTGCATTTGAGGTGTAGAAGCACCTGACGAAATTTTTCGTGTGAGTATCACATCACCCAGTACTTGAGTGAATATGCCCAAAGATAAAACTGGTGGTTCGCTGTCGTTTGAAGATTTATTGGGAAAAAACCCTTTTCACCTTCTTGTGATAAGGTTACTTACTCAAGTTAAGTGATGTTTCATTCTTCGGGAGGGTGTCAAACACGACAACAAATTTCTAGAAGATTTGATTTCCGGAATATCCTACCTATATGATTTGCCAGATTGTCAGAAAACCAAGTTCTACAACATGTCTGCACAAAAATCCGAGATGGCTAATAAGATTAGAATTTATTTATTGATGAGCAGTACACATAAAATGCAACATTTAAGGAAAAATAAATCCTAACATGTGCAAAGAAACAAATTTTTGACGTTCAATTAAATTTTGTAGCGTCCTTGGTTTGTTTGTAGTGAAAAACCCACTAAACATAGGTAAAGAAGTAAAAGTCACACATTACTAATCAACCAGATATCTTACCCGGAAACTGCAAATTAAGTTTCTTTCAAAGGAGAGAACTGAGGATTAAACAGATTGATAAAATCTATTGTTATAAAGGAAAATATCAAACTTTGGTCAAACAATAAAACGACACCAATTCGATATTAAGGTTAATAAAGTTAGTCGTACGAAAAAAATTCAACGCGTTGCCTTACCAGTTTATATGCTTAAAGTTGGTGCTTACATTTTTGAATAACAAACTTCATCAAGCGTTTAATTTTATTTTTTATTATATTTAGTTTTGTACGAATCCGAAATTTGAGATAAAAAGGTCATTGTTAGTGATGGGATTCGAACTCACGAACTCCGAAGACCGTGGGTTCGAATCCCATCTTTAACACTGTCCTTTTTATCTTTATTTTCGTGAATATAAAAAAGTAGTAAATTAGCTAATTTAATTTTAAAAATTAATATATTAGCTAAATACATATAAGAATATTAAAAGATAATAAAACAAAACTAATTTTTAAAATACTATTAGCAATGTAAAAGCAGTAAGTGACAAGATTCCTGTCTAATAAAAAACACCGTCCATAAGCCTAAGCCTAATTCAAGCTAACCTAATCCTAACCCTACTTAATCTGACCTAACCAGTCCCTAGCCATTCTTAATCTAACCCAGTGCACTCCCCGGAAACGCAAAATCAATTTGTATTAACATTTCAAAAACATACCGATTTTACCACAGGGATTTACTAATATTTTTAGGTCTTAGCTTATTAGAAGTAGGACTTGGTCATTTTGTTCTTCAGTTTTTGATAATCATAATTCAAACAGTTTTAATGATGTTTGTGCTATTTGACGTTTTTGACAATCCAATCTACGGCAGTAGAATTGCTTGTTTGAGCCTTTTATTGTTGATAGGAATCTGCGGTATGTTTTACGGTGAGTAGCTTTACATTAGTGTACATAGTGCAAAAATTATTTGTTTTACATTTCAATAATATTTTAGGCTTTCTGATCGCTGCTGTTTGTACTTCATTTACCATTGCCGGCTGCCTTGGAATCGGAAGCTATTTTCCACTATTCATGCTGAGCGGTAAGTTTTGCCGGGTTTTTTTAAAATGCATATATGAATATTGTACTGTTTTCAGGTGCGATATGGCCTTTGGAAGGAATGCATTATATACTTCGATACATGTCCTTGATTCTTCCAATAACAACATCAGTCGAGTGTTTCAGGGCACTGTCTATAAGGTCATGGCCGATAACAAACCCAGTCGTATACGGAAGTATTTTATCGCTTATTGCGTGGATAATTATATTCGCTAGTTTAACAATTGTAGCTCTAAGGTACAAATCTTTTGCATAAAATGTCCAACTGTATAATAATTTTTCAATAAACATTATAAATGTCTAATTTGTGAGAATTTTCTCGGGATGACTTTTTCTTCTTTATAAAAGCGAGAAATTCGTTGTGAAAAGATAAAAATCGACCACGATTTCACGCAGATGTACATGACATAAGTAGGACTTCTCACGTGTGATGTCCAGAAGCATAAATGACGCTGTTACGGAGGAGCTTTCGCCGTCTCAAAGGCTGCGTTCACTTTTGAAATCTTCTGACATGTCTGAAACATATATATCACTGGTCCAAGTTTATTTACGTCTACGGTTTTGTAACGTGTAAATACGTCTGTATCTACGGATAAATTATAACTTTATCTTTTCGTAATTAATTAAACGAGAAAGTAAGAAAGATCTCATGTCCTCGGGTAATTAAGTTTGATGGTGAGGTTATTTTTTTTTGTAAATATCATTTATCGCACATACAAGCTCTTTTTTATTTCTTTTGTATTTATTTTTAATCACTGAAAGTAACATACAGGTACTTTTAAATTAATCTTATATTTATGCTAAACTATTATGTTTTATACTGTACGTTTAATATTATAGTTTATTCACTATTTTTCGTGGTCCGCTTGACCAATTAATAACATTCAATTAATTAATGTTTTAAGTTGAGATAAAAAAGTCATTGTCACGAGCGGGATTCGAACCCACGACCTTTGGCTTGATACGCCGTTACTCTACAACTTGAGCTATCGTGATTTCTGAAGAAAGTGACTCAAGTCACGATAGCTCAAGTGGTAGAGTAACGGCGTATCAAACCGAAGGTCGTGGGTTCGAATCCCGCTCGTGACAATGACTTTTTTATCTCAACTTAAAACCTTAATTAATTATAGTTTATTAAAACGGTTATTTTTATAGTACGATCACCTAAGCCTTATGGCAAATAGGGACGATTATTGGCTGTTCCTTAAAAAACTTTTCCTATATAGGTAAAATGTTAGACTTTCTGCTTTATTATTTAATTTATTGTTTAATAACGCAAAAACTAGGCAATACGTGAGTTGCAAGATGAGGTCCAAATTTCTCTAACAATGGGCCGGAGGAAGTAATAAATTGCAACGTGTTTCGCCAGAGCGAGATAAGTTGCCAATTCTGCCCAGAATACGTCCACTCGCTTTCTCTCAATCCTCCATGTGCATTACCGTGAAATGATTGTGCAGTAGTTCTGGAGCCGACTGAAATATTTCAACTCATCCGAACTTGTAATTACCCACCTGCATATTTCATAGGCATGTTTTATCTTTTCTGATGTTAAAAAAGATCTGCTTGTCTAAAAATGCTATTGGGAACTGTACTTAATTTCTAAGGCTCAAAGACCGGAAGTCCTGAAAAGCACTTTGATTAACGTTGAAATGAGCGACAATATGAGAAATGGAAATTTCTTGCTCGCTAGATTTCAAGACCTTCAAGATGCTGTAAATTTACCATTCGAAGACAAGTTAAACCAGAAAATATTGGCTTTTAACTTTTGCTAATACCGATTTACCGATGTGGGTAGGATTTTGATGCAATCCAACAAGTTACCCCGAATTGGACATCACCTACTAGAATTATGATTGCGCATTTGTCTCTGAAGCCGGGAGAAAATCCATAAGATGAGAATCGTGTTTCTTCGGTGTCTTATTGGGGCTTGATGGAGTTTTGTTAAGCTTACCAAGAGATTGAAAAAATAACAAAGATTGATATCATTAGCCTAGGAGAAGAAATTATACATTGACTATTTGACTGTATTTATTAATTCAACCATTTATGTTTAGTGGTCTAATTGACCATACTAATTATTTCAATTAATACTTCTTTTTATGTAGGGTCTTGGTTGGGATGAAAAAGCTAGCTTAACGTTCGGTTAGCCAAAGGTCTTGGGTTCGAATCCCGCTTGTGATTCGATGTGTTGTTTCATCTCGACCAAGACTTACATAAAAAGAAGTATTTATTAATGTTGAATGAGAAAGATGGTGAAAGCTGTCATCTTGTTACGGTGCCACTAGGTCCTCATCTAGCTGATGCTCTTTCTTCTCTTATTATTCAAGGTGAAGTATTGGATTAGGAGGTGTTTGATTAAGAGTTGCGCGTTGATCTTAATGAAGAGATTAAATTATTTTTGGCTCTTCTTGTTTTTATGAAAACATTTCTACTTCGGAAGATGAATTAATTAAACTGCTGACGTACATATCAGTTAGACGACTTTTTTCATGCTGAATATGGTTGTTGACGTTTTTTTTTTTTTTACAGGAAAGTCTCATTCAATGTCTTGATTGATGTTCATGTCGAGCTATAAAAGTTTAAAATACCTTTTATCGGTCGGAAACATTTCCTCTTCTGCCAACGAAATGCAGGACATCCTTGAGTTATTAATTATCAGCAAAGATCACATCAAAAGCTAGTTGCAACATCGAATGTTGGGGGTCTAAAGATATCTTTATACGTGAATATTACAATGTTTGTTCAAGGCCGTAAATGCTGTAGTATCAATGGTTTGTACTGGTTAAAAAATTGCTGATTTTTTTCTAAAACAACTTTAAATTGACAAAACTTAGTATCATGAAAGCAGTGAGATCAACGAACCTGATGTTTATTAATCAATTATCTATAATCTATCAGAAAATATAATAAAAGACATAACAATAAAATAGGCCAGTTTCTAAGGAAGTACAAAGAACTTGAAAAATGCTAAAATGAGCCCACACAAAAAATTGGAGTGTTGGCAATTTTGAAACAAGCTCTTGCATGTCTTTAGAGGAATTGTGGAATTTCATGAATTTTACCATCATGAAGAAGGAAGAACAGATTGGTTATTCCATGCAGATGGCAAAACACAAGTACCAAGTGGATCTGGATCAAGGGTATAGTCGTGGAAAAAGAAGAAGAGGCGAATCTGAGTCGAAGATTAAACCAAATGATGAGAGACTTTCTAGTGTTTTTTAAATCTTCCTAGCTTTGCTATGCAAAGCGAAGCAGTAAAACAAGCAGTAAGCCCGGTTGGGAAAGACAAGCAACCAAGAGCAAGGACAAGGACAAAAACTTGCTTCTCTTTATATTCTTTAAGTACGAGTGCCAAATGGTATCCAAACATATCATACACAGCTCTGACTGGAAACTGTTCTAATGGAAATTTGTTTTGTTGAATACATATATCAAGTTCCATTTCATGCAAATGATCTTTATTTCGTTTTTTTTCCAAAACATTTTATTTATCCATTCTTGAGCTATATAAAATGAGAATTTTATGCAAAACCGTGACTACAAAAGGCTTTTTTATTAACAACGAAAATTGGTTTTTCTGTTGCTTGGTAAAAAGAAATCATCAACTAGTCCCAAGAAAAATCACCTATACGTGAGTTTTTTAATCTTATTATTTGATTTGTGCTTTTCCAGCAATATCGACAACCGATCTCTCTCCTCTGTTGTTTGTTTTGTATTTTAAGTTCCCATTTATTTTTAATTATTACTTATTATCACAGGAAAGGAGAGATTCACGTTTGCAACAAACCTGGGTGTGTTTCTTACTAATCTCGACTTGGGTTTCACACTAGTTAAGCGAGTGACATTTAACAGACGGCATTTTGTTCTGTGCCTTTCAAAGAACCAAAATCACACCCGAAAGTTGCATGTATTGTAACAATGCGATTCGGCATGACCTATGCGAAATGACTGTCATTAACTACTTCAAACTGCCGGCTCTAAGACCGTGAATTTGGTGGAATATATGGTGAGTCATTAATATGACATTGTGGATTACTGCAAACAAAACAATCCATCACTGTTCTAAACTTGACCAACGATAATACAACTTTTAAGTTAGCAAGGAAAGACGGTACGAATTAGCGAATATAATTTATATTCATTTGTTTTCCAATTACTAATATTTTATTGATACACAGGCTGGGAAGTTCTTGCTCACCTATAAACGCATATAAATCCACCTTCAAACCTAATCCAGTCAAGGAATAAATTTTCAAACTATAAAAATTATCAGACCAATTCGTTTGAAGGATAATAATGAGTGGTCAGTATTGAAATATAATTTAATTAATTAATCTTTATGTAATGTATTGTTTGAGATAAAAAATTCAGTGTCATGAGCGACCGCTGCTCTGCCACTTGACTGAAGCCACGATAGCTCAAGTGGCAGAGCAACGGCGTATTTAGCCGAGGGTCTTGGGTTCGAATCCCGCTCGTGACAGTGACGTTTTTATCTCAACCAAGACCTCACATAAAGATTAATTAATTGAAAAAAGTTATTCGGTCAATCGGACCAAGAACTCTAATGAATATAATTTAATCATATTCATATCATCATCAATATTTAAACATCACGACCCTGCTACCGTACGCTCTGACATGCAGAGTATGCCGGTTAAGTCCGTTTATGAGTTAAAGGTTCGTGATCAGAATAAAGATCTGGAGGTGGCAGCTGTTATCATGTCAATGGGGCATAATAAATTCCTTGTGTATCTGTTTATCGCCCTCAGGAAAGCTAGCTTATAGAAATAACAAACAAGAGCCTGAATTTCGTATTGGATTCAGCATTTAAGTTCTATGTCTAAGTCTACGCCGTTTCATCTCACTCTAATTCATGCCCCTTTTTCAATTACTCCAACTTTAAAGGGGCGTCTAGCTCAAGAGATTGATTGGCACAGTTTTTGGGAATTAATCTTCAGCCTGATTTAAAATGGTCAACTAACATATCTATCTTGTGTAAAAAACTTGCCTTATGTTAGTTGCTAATTTATACTCTGGAATCTATTACGCTTCTGTTTTCACATTAGCTACAGGGTGTTTTGCTGGGGGCGTATGATTCATGGCATCACATCTGACTTATGGCAGGGTGTTTTCTCCTCAAAAGAGATCTGTACGTGCTATACTTTTTCTCAAACGGAGGGCATTGTGTCTACATAAACTAACAAGTCAGACATTCTTATTTTCCAATCTCTTTTGATTATCTTCTTGTGATGTCATGTACAAGGCTTATAAAATAAATAGTTATTTTTACGGCTATAACACCAG